TTGTTTATGAAAATCATTTTAATTTTCTCGTGTGATGATCTAATTTTACTCCCTCAGCTCTCTCTCTCTGTCTCACTCTCTCTCTCTCCTCCTAACCTTCATTAATATCATTATCATAAATTAAAAAGACAAAATCATGAGTATATCCTGGAGGGAGTTGGTCCGCCTGGCCACCAGGGCAGGTGGTGTATGGACCACCTGGGAGCCAGCCATGGGAGGGGTGAGTGACAGAGCCCCAGGAGCCCCCAGGAGCGGTAGTGAGCGCCTGGGGGTCCTCGCCCCCGCCGCCGCCATATTGACACCCGCTCCGATACAAGACTGGTCTCCGATAATTCCACATCCAGACTGTGATGGCTATCTCTGCCACTCTTTTGTGTGTCCCGCCTCGCCCGGGTCCTCGCCGCCAACACTTCCCGCCACTCAACCTCACGCTGGCAATCAATGGGCGCTCCTCCCTCCTTGGCAACCATGACAAGAATTGCAGTCGTCTTCGTAACATATACAGAGGCGCTAAGGCCCTTCAGCAGAGGCACTCCACCGATGGTCTCCAAGTCCTGTGGTGGACTTGAGGGATCCTGTGATCCCTCCTGCCCATTGTTTCTCGCCGGCGCCCGGGATCGAACCCGGGACCACAGGATCACAAGTCCAGTGTGCTGTCCGCTCGGCCGACCGGCTCTGGATTCTATGCTCATTAAAAATAAAAGTTACTTAAAAAGCCCTAAAATAGCAAAAACGAGAATTAAAAACACACAATTTTGCATTTTTCTAGATTTATTTGTAAGTGCATTTTTATCTCAAATTAAGACAACTTTATAAACATCAGAATTAGACAAGAATTGGAAAATCTTTATTTCTTAGATTCTAGATTACTGTATACTTAAACTGCTCAATTTCGCTACGAGAGTTAATGAAGATTTTAGTATATATAGAATTACAGCCACATAATAGTGGAATACTGAAGATACAACAGTATATCATTTGAAATATACAGTACTTGTATACAAAAGTTGAGAGACAATGACACAATGAATCATTCTATATGAACAAATCCCAACCCGTCCTCAACTCAAGTCCATTACATTCAGCGGTCGACCCCACAGACGCATTCATAAATTTTAACACGCTGTTCATTCAAAACGGGAATTTTCTCAAGTATAAATTAATATTATAATATATTAACATATTGAGTATATATAGGCATAGGTTAGGTTAGGTCAGGTGTTTAGGTTCTGTTGGCGATTATTTGTATTTGTAGTACGTGGGTGAAGCATTTATAGCGTTGTGATTCGAACAAAATTCGTCAGTGAAGCACTTGTTCCGGATATGTTCGAACGTCAGCAGTTGTGAGTCGTGTATAAACCGCTTTTCATTCATAAACAGGGGGTTTGGCGGGTGCATGGAATCACTTTTGGATCTTTGTTTGGAGGACGGGCTGACAAATCCACAAGGGCCGTGACGAGGATTCGAACCTGCGTCCGGGAGCATCCCAGACCCTTATGGATTTGTTCATTTGATGCATCACGTTAGTGTGATCTCTGTGTGTGAATCATTCTATATCTTGTACACAAAAGGTAAGACTATTTTGAGAACAGTAACTGGTAAGTTATACCATGATGAGCCAATTGGACAGTTTACCCGGCCAGCCTCACTAGAGCTGTAGTTATCCCTGGATTGATTGATTGATTGATGAAGATTAAGCCATCCAAAAGGTGGCACGGGCATGAATAGCCCGTAAGTGGTGACCCTTTTGAGCCAGTATCAATAGCTGATACTGGAGATCTGTAGAGGTGCGACTGCACCCTGCGTGACGGGAGATGTCTCCCGTGTTATCCCTGGACCTAGATTCAGGAAGCTCTGTGTATTTCTTCGTAAGTGGGTTTGCTACGAAGGTTCCTAAGTGCGCCCTAAGAAGATGCTTAGGTGCGATTCAATAAGGTATACTTAGGAAGAAAATTGTTGGTTCACCTGCGTGCCGATAGAGGTCACTACTGTGTTTCGTTTGGCCAATCAGAGAGCAGCAACATTCTTCATATTGAAGATTTAGCGCTGGCTTATCGGAGCTCTACTGCCGCCTATTTACGTCGAATTTTCTTATAAAATTAGTATATTTCGAAGTAAAACAATGTTTTTTCAACTTCTACAGCCAGCACCGACATTGTAGTAAACAAATATGTTACATTTGTTGTTTACCAACGTAATTCTAAGAGATACTGTGTAGCTGTCCTTGTTGCTCGGAAGATGCGCTGACAATTATTGTATATATTTACTGAATTTACCCAAGGGCCACTAACTATCTAGTGGCCTCGAAGAGGACAGAAAGCCGGCGGCTTGTTAAAGGGCCCGCCAATTGTCTTAATGATATTTTTTAGCTGGAATTTGGCATTTACGGCTTCAGCGGGTAGGCGGTTCCATGGGTTTATAGCCCTCTTGGTGGAAAAAAAAACATCTGTTTTCAGTCCTACTTGAGAGAACATACTCTCCAACACTATATCTGTGATTGTCCTGTTATCAGTGACTTCATACCAAATGGTATGAGGTATTTTGAGCTCTGTAATTACTTCATACACTCAGGAATATTGGAAGATATTCTTGTGCTGCACCCAGATTTTGCCAGTGGAGGCTAATAGATCAGCATTAAGTATTTTGTTCTCTCCTAATTCCATGTATGACTGGCCATCCTGTGAGGTGAGGATGTTGGGTGAGCTGGTAGCTGGTTTTTGATCTACACTGTGTGGTCCTTTATACAGAATAGGAAAGCAGCACATTGCTGTGTATACCTAAACATGTTTAAAAATACATTGTTTGAGAGGAGTTTTGTAGAAACTGGTAAGAGTAATTATAATATAATGTTTCCATGATTCAGTGCTTACCTCTTGTGAAAATTGCTTAGAGTTGTTTAGTCAGAGTTGATTTGTTTTTTGTATTGAGGCTGGTATTTTCTAAATTGATTCCATGTACAGTATGTCTAACCATCCTGTGAGATGGGAGTATTAGATAAACTTATAGCTAGTTTTTTATCTACACTGTGTAATATTCCATATAGAATAGGGTAGCAGCACATTGCTGTGTATACCTAATCTTCTTAATAAAAAAAATCAGTAATAAAGATTTTAAATTATAGTTTGTATTATTACAAATACAGTACTGTATTATCCTTATTAAATCATGTTGACCATGGATCATTAAGATCTCATGTTGATATGTAATACAAGTCATATTTCTTTTGAACTGCTAATCCATGCTAATCATTCATTAAATTGTGCATTATGTCTCAATTTTTCACTTCCTTGGATATACTGTACAGTACAAAAAGATAGGATAAAAATAAACCAGTAATATTTCTTTCATTATATTTTTCATTTAAATAACTGCATCAATATTTTTACAGCTGACAGGATTTGTTTTACCATACAGGTGCATTATTTGTTAAAAAAATTTGGTTTATTGTTACACACAATGGTGCTACATAGCCTTCCCAGCTTGGTGCCTTCTTTTAATACTTACTGATTAAAAAATAAATAATAAATACATTTTATTCAGGAAAAGTACATACAGTTGATTTACAAACATAATGTTGGATTTATAGACAGAGCTAGTACATACAATACCTAAAGCCACTAATACTCATAGCATTTCGGGCAAGGTGTGGGGGAAAAAACACAGACTAAAACTTAGTAATCGGGATTAGGTATAAATTGTGTTGAAAGAAGGAATAAAAAATACAAAAAGGGGGGTTAGCATAGCATAACTCAGCAATTGCACATGTTGGTGAACAGCGTTGTTTAAAAAATAGCAAGACATGGGTTGACATTTAGGAGGTAAGTTAGGTTACATGGAGTTAATTAGGCAGTACTTGGTTTAACTCTTAAACTGGTTGAGAGAGGTACAGCCTTTGACATGATTCGGGAGGTCATTCCACATTCTGGGTCCCTTGATTTGTAGAGCACTTCTAGTTTGGTTACACACAGCCAAATTGAGTAACAGGAAGAGGTCTTGGACACAAATTTGTTCCATGCTAAATGTAGAGGAATCAGCTGAGTATTCCTCAAATAAAATAAGTTGCCTCAGCTTATAAGGTAAATAAAATAAGCATTTCTCAAATAAGTAGCTGCCTCACCTCACTGCCTTACTGCTACATAGCCTTCCCGGCATGGTGCCTTCTTTTGATAATTACTTGTTCCACACCCAAATTGTATAACAGGAAGAGGTTTTGGACCCCTACTTCCCTCTCTCTTTTTTAATAATCTACAGTATATAGTCATAATTATAGCTTTAAGTATTCAATGAATAAAGTTTGTGACATTTTTACCCTTCTCCTTACCTAACATCATTTGTGCAGCATATTTTTATTTTATGTCTCACCCAGATTTAATTTCAAAATAAAACCAAACTAAATAAATTAGAAATGGGTATGTATAGCTAAGGTACACCCTTACTACTAGGTGAACAGGGGCATTTGGTGATAGTAAATGATCCCATCAGGCAGGGCTCATCACCTTCTCTCATATTTCATGTTCACCAGTGTTTATTTACTTAATAACTACTGGTATAATATCTTGCTATTATAAAACTAATTCTACTATCATCAAACACATATTTACTTCAAGTTTCAAGCAGAGAATGCATATATAACTAACACGAAGGATTCCTCTTCACTAGATTCACCAGCTATAATATTTTGGTCATGTTCCAATATCATAAATCGATCCCAGTGTTATGTAGTAGAGAAAAAATGACTTATATCCAGTTTACGTAAAGCTACGAGTGGTCGAAACCACACTTAAATCCCGGAATGAACTTACGAAGGTTTTTCCACTTAGGGTAGCTCTTTGAATACGGACGTAGCCGCCACGAAGGCGCTAAGAAGGAATTCGTTCTTAGCTAAGAGGAAAAACCTTCGTAAGTACCTTCCTGAATCCGGCCCCTGGCGCCACGTTATTGTGACTCGTCGCCTGCACAAGAGCATTCCCCATTGTTGGCAGAGGTATATATATAACAAATTCACATTTCTTAAGTGTTTATTTTGCATAAAAGGAGTCCAGAAAATAATTAAATTTAAAAAATACCTTGACCACGTATAAGCCAGCAGTGTGGGCCACTGTCGAGTAACATACTACACGCGACAACACTGGCCGGGCTTCACCAACGTCACAAGCCAGCAGTGTGGGCCACGGTCGAGTAACATACTACACGCGACAACACTGGCCGGGCTTCACCAACGTCACAAGACAATTTACACATTTCTAACTGCAAGATGGACAAGGCGTTCAGCCCCACAGCAACACCAGCCAGTCCAGTTTTAATCTAGGCACAAGGGTTACTTATCACAAACCACAATTGATCAACAAATGGAAATCTGCCTTGCAAACAAAACTTATCATCAGTACTGTATGTGATTCTACATCGACGTATACTGGTAATGGCCACCTTCTGCCATTAGAATTTTTAAGAATCTTTTTTAATATTTGTTAATCAAGGACTCTGGTGAAGAGGATATGGTCAAAATTGAGAGATGTGTCGACTATGACCTTTGCTACAATATGGTTTAACAGTAATAATAACCTGTGCAGTTCAGAACACCGAGATAAAACTGACAAAAACACTTTACTAATTATATTCAATACAAGAGGAACATCTGGACACGTAACCAAGCCTTCAACAGCTGATGACACACTCGCCAACCTGTACTTTACTACACCTGGAAATTATGCCAAATATTGGTATATCAATTAGTAATTTGATCAATATTCATCCTTAAAGATTTACAATGTATATTCTTTAATGCCATTTATTTTAACAGTTCATATCCCAACCTGATAATAGTTTCAGTTTCATTGGACGATAATTACAAACTTATAGAAAGATAGTTAACACGAACTTCCCAGAGTTGTGGGTTTAATGGATAACTTCAACCAACATTGGCTTCCCAGAACTCTTCAAATTATCTTAAGACAATTCTCGTGATTTAAAACACTCATTAAAGCAAACACAACACATGTATGGTGTGTTCCGACATCCACGTACATAACACCACCTAAAGTTACTCAATTTTCTTGATACAGTTCACAAGATCAGCACAGTTTACTTCCCTAGATTAGCTAATCCTGAAGTTTAAAGCCCTAATATCCATGCTAGCATGTCTTAACATTCAACAATGCATAAATTGTTGTTTAATCAAGATGTTGAAATTAAAGTTATGGATATGGTTCCACCAATAACTTACGTCCCTTAACTTGATGCCCTTTTCTACCCAAGAACATTAGTTTCCTTATCAAATACTGACCTTGATCCATTCAGAATTGAACACGTTAACAAATGCCTTATAAATTGGGCACCGTACTCTTATTGTAGCATTCTAATACCACCTCCTCACCTATAGTGAAGACACACATCTGTGTGCTCAACACTTTACTATCAGGGTCCCTTAGGAAAAATAAATGGTTGTACATAATTAACAAGATACTTTGAGTATCCCACTTTCTCAATACCAGATTGGGTCATGTAAATATGATACATGAAAACTTTACAAAATACTTTATTTTACACACAAATGTTCAAGGTATACAATACACATTCACTCTCAGTTTAGTAAAGCAAAAGCTTATTCTACTAAAATATGGAAAAGTAAATACTTACCTTCAGATCACACTGTAGCCACACTAACAAAACCTCACCTAACTGCCTCACATTAAAAAGTTTTTACACAAACTAAATTAATGTATTTAATTCATATTAGAATGTCCAAATTAATTAGTGGTGAGCCTCACAGGTTGAGACCGATATACATTTTGGCTGAAAGCCTTCGTCAAGACCGAGTGACATTTTTAACCACAAGTTCTTTAACCACTTCTATTCCCTACAATTAAAATATTTCCCTATATTACAAAAATAATTAAATACCTTTCTTCAGAATACAGTACCGCATTTCTCTTCCTTGCAGATAAATTTCCTAGTTTACAATTTGTTTATACTTATTCTTCCATGCGTATGAAGCCATACATCATTGTTCAGGTCACCCATCACAGTTACTAGAGTTAAGAGTGAACTGATCCTCTGGCTGCGTTAATAAGGGATACCATGGAATAGTCTATTGTTGACCAGACCACACACTAGAAGTTGAAGGGACGACGACGTTTCGGTCCGTCCTGGACCATTCTCAAGTCGATTCGACTTGAGAATGGTCCAGGACGGACCGAAACGTGGTCGTCCCTTCAACCTCTAGTGTGTGGTCTGGTCAACATACTGTACTTCAGCCACGTTATTGTGACTCATCGCCTGCACATGGAATAGTCTACTTTACTGATACACTTATCCAAATCCCCAGATGTAACCAACTCCTTCATAACCACATGAAGGTTGCCTCACTAGTAGGTACAGCATATAGCATAATGGAACAATAATCTAGCGGTGGATCAAAGGTTGATGCATTATTCCATCCCATTAATTAGGGACAGTAGGTTTGAGAGCTAAATACACAAAGGAGCTGGTCCTGTTGACTCGAGACTAGTATGTGTGTTGCAGCAGTCTTGAGCATGACACAGAAGCAAGAGTATGCTTCCCCCTCACTTCTGTAGATCATTCTCCTCAGTCTCGCCCGCACCTTCCCACTAGACACCAACTCCCGGCTCGTAGTCCAGTCCCTCTTCGTCTATAACTTCCTCTTCGTCATCACCTCTGGTATAACAAAAAAATCAATATTATTCTGGCACCTTTCATTGCCAGCTTTTATAGCAACATAGCAAACATTAAATAGTCTTATTTACTTACCCATCGGCATTGCTGTTGAGAACCAATTCTTCCCCTTCGGCCGCATCATCCTGGTCGTGTTCACCGCTCCATTCATTATCTTCCTCAATATTACCTCCATCCTCCTCTTCATTCGCTTTGTCGTGATCCATTTGTTCTTCACTATCTATACTTCTTTCCAAGCCTTCTCCAGCATCCTCCGATGCCACAGCCTCCTACAACAGTAAGCAATACTCCATTAACCTTTATTAAACTTCATAAATCATTCCAAATCACCACTGTAACCAGTCTCGGAAGTGCTAGACATCACGTCTCGGCTATCAATGTTAAATCTACACTATCTTCCGTACATTCAAGTATACAAAGTAGCCCGTTCAAGATGTACATTTCAGAAAACACTCACAGAGTCAAAGGACACATCAGCATTTCCAACCTCAGCATCAGCATCTGCTCTCTTGTTGCCAGGCGAGGCTTGTGTGTCGGCAGCAGCACCAGCAGCATGAGCATCCCCGTCACCATCTTCCACAGCCTCGTCCACAGTCTCCATATTGTTCATGTCCTCACAGTTGTCATTCTCGTCTCCATTTTCTTCTTTGTTCTTCGCCTCCTCCTCCTTCATAGATTCTTCTAATTTCTTTCTCTCCAGTTCTTTCTTCTCCTGCAAATATAAACAAGATCATCAAAATAAAGAACATCTTTACACTATTCATGTGATGGGGGTGATACTACTTACACATCTTACTCCACTTTTGCCTAACTACTGTTTCCACAGAACTTGCTACTGCTGCTGCTGATCTGAGATGGTACTGACGGGGGAAATGGTTGTAATCATAATCGACCGGGAGCCGGTCGACCGAGCAGACAGCACGCTGGACTTTGTGATCCTGTGGTCCCGGGTTCGATCCCGGGCGCCGGCGAGAAACAATGGGCAGAGTGTCTTTCACCCTATGCCCCCTGTTACCTAGCAGTAAAATAGGTACCTGGGTGTTAGTCAGCTGTCACGGGCTGCTTCCTGGGGGTGGAGGCCTGGTCGAGGACCGGGCCGCGGGGACACTAAAAGCCCCGAAATCATCTCAAGATAACCTCAAGAAAAAGATGGCAATCAAACAGGTAAAGTGGAGTGCAGGCAATCAGATAATGGAGAAACAAAGTTTCAGTCCACCCTGGACCCTTATCTAGTCTTGTGATCTGGCAAGTTGTTTAATTCTTTTCTTTAAGAAATGTTTTCATTACAATAGTGAAAACAGGAATCTGTATAAATACTCTAAAGGTATGTTATACAAATAGTAGCATTATGGACTTTAAATAGTTTTCAGAATAACAGTTCTGGCATCTTCAAGCCAAACTCTACCCTACACTGAACAACCTCTATGGATACTCCCCCCACCTACACAGTGTAAACTAGCCATGTGACCTTTTTTAATATAGGCCCCCATGGACTTTATGTTCCATGCTGTATTTAGCTTGGTAATGATTGTTGACAATTGAAGTCCTGAGCTTCTTAAATGTCCTCAACATAAGAATTAAGGAAACTGTAGGAGGCCTATTTAACAAAACGAGGTAAAGTAGCTGATTTTTATATCCATCCTAACATCTGCACACATGTCTAACCTACACTTTAAATAATACATCGACCTTACATCTATTATGTTACCCAGTAAATTGTTCCATACTATAAATTAGCAATCATTTCTAAACCAGTATTTACCCAGGTATTTCTTAAACCTACAAATTAGTTGTTATATTCCTTGTTTGGCATTCTATTTTGTGTTGGCATATTTTACTCCTTATTAATATCCCCTTTGTTATACCATTTCATCTACTTCTATACTTCAATCAAGTGACCCCTAACGCTTCACCTTCATAGAGAATGTAAATTACGCTTCCTCAATCTCCTCAAATTGAAGGTTTTCAATTCCCCAGATTAACCATCATCCTCCGGTGAACAGGCTTAATTGAATCGACGTCTTTTCTATAATGTGCCGACCAAAATTTAAGTATGAACATAATGTAAATGTACCACACATTAGCCCCTAACAAATGTGAAAGAAAATACTGTACACTCCTGCTGCACAGTTCACCCAACTCATACGTAAACAGATCCACCGGAAATGACTCCACGCGCCTCAGCATACACGGCAAGTTATTCTTATTACAGTGTCAAAATGCTTGATTGTGAATCAATGATTTACTAAACTGCATAACTAAATTTACTTTATTTCAAGTGACATCAACATGTAAAATTCGTAAGCAAATTAAATGCTTGGAGCTTTATTGACTGAAGGTGGTGTGTATGTGGAATAAGATATGGGATTAGTGTACATCATTCATAAACACTGTATACACCTCACTTGCCTCTTCTGCGGCGAGATGGCGACACAAACTGAAGTAGTGATCGACGGAACGGAAGTGATATTCGGCATGCTGTGGATTTCTCAAATGACTGCCGCACATATCGCAACGATACAGTGTCTCTTTGTAAAGGAAGTTTAAACCTGAAACATAAAGAGTCTTGTAAAACACAAACTATGACAATGCAAGGCAAACTGAACTTAAAAACTGGAGGGGGGGGGGGGGGAGAGAACAAAACTATTTGTGGACCAGCTTCTTATCCAGTGATAAACTGTTCAGTCCACACAGGGTCCGCACCTCGAGCAGTGAAAGATGTTTATACTCTCAAGTTTCCTCATATTATTTTTTATTATAATTATAAATTGTGTTAAAAACAGAAATAAGGACAGATGCTTTAAAAGACAAACAATTGTAGTGCTACAGAGGCTGTTGCTCTGAACCTTACTAGGCTCAAGCAATTAATACACAAACACTGGTAATGCGTTATATCATGTAGTAGCTATGGAAGTTCTTATCTTAAAAAGGTGGTCTCAATAAATTCTCTCAAAAGTTGTTGCGACTGCCAAAAGTGCTCAAGAATTTCAATTACCAGCACACAACAGGATTGGTTTAATGAGTTGTCATGTTAACGTAGGTACTGGTGACATGTATTATTTTCAGGGGGGAGGGAAGGGGAGGGAAGGAAGGAAGGAATTATCAGGGGGAAAGCGCCAAGACATTATGACTATATAGCACTGGGAAGGGGCCAGGGTAAGGATTTGGGATGGGACGGAGGGGAAGGAATTGTGCCCAACCACTGGAATGGTCGGGAATTGAACGCCAACCTGCATGAAGCGAGACCGTCGCTCTACTGTCCAGCCCAAGTGGGAGAGGGGGGGGGGGGGAACACTCTGGTATGAAGGTCAATGCTATGTTAAGTGCTCATGTCATATTCCATATGACATGAGCACTGAATTGAGCTACAGTTAATAAACTGTAGCTCAATTCAGTCTAACAACCTGCTACAGTAATACAGTACTCAGCCTTTCTTTTCTTGAAATGTATTATTTAGCCCTTTTAAAATACAGTATACAGTATTTCCTGTAAATAGAAGTCATTCACCATAATGAAAGTAAAAATCATAGATAATACCGTCTAGAACAGGATTTATACCTCTTTTGGGCATTCAAAAGTGCTGTATGAACATCTCTTATCTACAAAGTATCTACAAGCTCACCATAGCCCGTGCTACTTTGAACTTTTTGTTCCAAGTACCTGAATCTAAACAACAATAACATACAAAGTATCAATACCCATTTCCTACAAACAGCACATTGTATTTTTTATATTTATATTGATATTCATGCTGCAAAATATATATATACAGGGTAAAAAGTGTTTTAGTAATAATACACAAACCTAAGAGACTGGTGATCGAGCTTACCTATGGGTTTAGTAGCATCATACGGAGGCAAGGTGTCCGAGGTTAGTGGCTCCTCGGATTCATTGGACTTCTTGAAATTGTACACCTTTTCATGGAATGCTTCTTCTGTTGGAAATACACCAGAAATGAAGTGTCCCAAGATATGACTACATTGCTAAAATGCTAACATGTAACAATTTATAAAGCAAGAGTAATGGCAGTATAACAAATATGGCTGGACATTAAGCCCTAAAAATTCATTAGGTACACATACCACTTTCTATCCTCTCCTCCTCTTGCTCCTTCTTCTCGTCACGTTCTCGGGTCTCCTGTTCTATGTCCCATTGGTTCTGTGTACAAATAGATCCACCTCTTAAGCAAGGAACTACACACATTTACAATACGTTTACTGGGTAAACGTATCGATACCTGATCAACCAGGCTGTGACTCATACGTCAGGCTGCGAGCAGCCGCGTCCAACAGCCTGGTTGATCAGTCCGGCATAGGGGTGAAAGAAACTCTGCCCATTGTTTCTCGCCGGCGCCTGGGATCGAACCCAGGACCACAGGATCACAAGTCCAGCGTGCTGTCCGCTCGGCCGACCGGCTCCTCCTCCGGGTACATCTGCCCTGAGGACAGCTTGCCATATTATAATGCAGTGCAAGTCACCTCATGCTGGAGATGCATCACATCCCAAAGACGGCTCATCTCATGCGCTCACCTCTGCCACTCTACCCTCCAACCAACTCCTCAAAATGAGCTTTATGGAAATCTGGCAATCTAACACTTCTCTCTCGCACAACATTCTCATGCTATGGAAAATCTAATTTCGTGTGATCACTGTTACCTAAATCATTCCCTATTGCACTGATGTTTATTAGTGTATCCTTGATAGCCAACACTAATATTATAGCAGCATTTCAATACAATAGCTACACATTCCAAGCTTGAATTATCTTGGACCATTTATGCCAACCTTAAAATAAAATGCAACATTTTATTAAATATTGCATTTTATTAACATTATCAACATTTTATTCAATGTTGTGTTACCCACCTTAAGGTGCCGCAGAGAGAGGCGGTGCTCCTCCAGGATGGCTCTGTTGTACTTGTAGCCGCAGCAACTAACCCGAGAGTACTGACTCACCAGCTGCAGCAAATGCAAGAAATAACATAATTCAGTCTTAACTACATTATACAAGATGTTACTCATATGACACATACAAAATACAGAAAAAGTGGCCCTTGAATGGCTTCCCTTCCAATCTTCGTCCATAAATACTGGACACATGAAAACTGGCTGGTTAGGTCTCAAAATGAACACACAGCATACATACCACTGCAGAAACCTCTATCCCATTCCCCCAGTATACTAAATTACTTGCTACTGCAATTTTTTTTATCACAATACTTCAAAGCAAATGGTCAATCATGAACAGATAATGAGGAAACTGTTGTAGCCCAGTCCAAGATAACAAATATTACATTTTTATTACAAATTTGTACAAATAAGTGGGCATACTTTGTGCTAGAAATATAAATTTATCATGCCTATATATATCCCATAATAGGAAAATAAAATTGTCTTTTCAACAAAGTCAAATATTAATTAGTATGGTGGGAAGCATAGTGTGGTGGTCAAGACTACGAGTGTTGACCTACTGTGTGCTTTGTGGTCTGACATAGTATGTGGTGGTCAAGACTACGAGTGTTGACCTATTGTGTGCTTTGTGGTCTGACATAGTATGTGGTGGTCAAGACTACGAGTGTTGACCTATTGTGTGCTTTGTGGTCTGGCATAGTATGTGGTGGTCAAGACTACGAGTGTTGACCTACTGTGTGCTTTGTGGTCTGACATAGTATGTGGTGGTCAAGACTACGAGTGTTGACCTACTGTGTGCTTTGTGGTCTGACATAGTATGTGGTGGTCAAGACTACGAGTGTTGACCTATTGTGTGCTTTGTGGTCTGACATAGTATGTGGTGGTCAAGACTACGAGTGTTGACCTATTGTGTGCTTTGTGGTCTGGCATAGTATGTGGTGGTCAAGACTACGAGTGTTGACCTACTGTGTGCTTTGTGGTCTGACATAGTATGTGGTGGTCAAGACTACGAGTGTTGACCTACTGTGTGCTTTGTGGTCTGACATAGTATGTGGTGGTCAAGACTACGAGTGTTGACCTATTGTGTGCTTTGTGGTCTGGCATAGTATGTGGTGGTCAAGACTACGAGTGTTGACCTATTGTGTGCTTTGTGGTCTGGCATAGTATGTGGTGGTCAAGACTACGAGTGTTGACCTACTGTGTGCTTTGTGGTCTGGCATAGAATGTGGTGGTGGAGACTATATGAGAGTGTTGACCTACTGACCGTGTGGTGGTGGAGACTATGAGAGTGTTGACCTACTGACCGTGTGGTGGTCAAGACTATGAGTGTTGACCTACTGACCGTGTGGTGGTCAAGACTATGAGAGTGTTGACCTAGTGACCATGTGGTGGTTGAGACTATGAGAGTGTTGACCTACTGACCGTGTGGTGGTCAAGACTATGAGAGTGTTGACCTACTGACCGTGTGGTGGTCGAGACTATGAGAGTGTTGACCTACTGACCGTGTGGTGGTCAAGACTATGAGAGTGTTGACCTACTGACCGTGTGCTCGGTGGTCTGACAGTGCTCCTGGATGGTAGTGCTCATGAAGCACAAGCACTTGAGGCAGCGGGCAGATCCACCCTTCTTACTCGGCTTCCACTTGCATGCCAACTGTGGTGGGCGCAAAGGAACCACATTAGTCTCAACACACGAATGAATTAACTAATACACATCAATCAATTTTACTAGCCAATTAAAATCCATTTAAATGCTTATTTCAAAAAGTGTCATTATTAAACCAAACATTTGACTCAAAATAATAATACTAAACTTAAAATAACAGTACTGTACCTTGGAATCAAACATCAAGACATCAATAATGGCAGCATTGCGGTTATGGAAGGTATGAGCCATCATCTCGTGGTTTTTGCTCTCCAGATGACTCAGGTAAGCCTGTTGAGCAAGACCCAACACTCCCATTATCAACATGCAGCCACACAATCACAATGCCGCTCGCTAACACTACCTCAATTACTTTTAACGTCAACAATTCTTTACACATTCCTACAAACGCAAAATTTAGGGAAACAACCCAAGTGGTCCATGTTTACAAACAACAGCTTCTCAAAGTAACTGCTTGAAGTCAAGTATTAAAAGAACAGTACTTACAAGATTGATTGATTGATGAAGATTAAGCCACCCAAGAGGTGGCACGGGCATGAATAGCCCGTAAGTGGTGGCCCTTTTGAGCCATTACCAGTATCAAAAGATGATACTGGAGATCTGTGGAGGCGCAACTGCACCCTGCGTGACGGGAGATGTCTCCCAGACCAAATGGTGACCAAATGGTGCTACTTACAAGTAACGTATTGGTTGAACTTGAGAGAAAAGTGGTGGAAGGTGAAGTGACAAAGTATTGAATCCTGAGAACGGAGCTCTGGATGATGCAGTTTACCAGTGATTTACCCAGCATTGTAGCCTGGGGCTGGCTACTGATGGTGCTCACAATCTATAGCCGAGAGAATGCCATTTGTCATGGACACTGAGGGTTTTAAGGTCAGCTCTGGATGGCTTCACAAGTTCAACACACGACATAGCATTATAATCCTATTTTTGCTCTCTCTCTATGATCAAGACCAGCCCGTGCCACAAAGTTACATATACAAATTAATTTGATATATTTTTCTGCTTAATTTAATTATTTATATTTTCTCTCAACAAACTGAAATATTTACATCATTAGCTACAAGAAAAACACAGAAAATTCGCCTAAAGAGAAGGTGAAAATCTGATTTCCAGACTTCCCACTAATCTATTGCAGGAATTTCTTAATTATCTAGACATCTAATCTGATGCATTAAGAATGATTAGATGTTAACAAAATGGGAATTCTACCATTGCATCTGATCCTCCATTGGTCTCAAAATTTACTGTACAATATATCCTAGTAAAACTTTCCATTACACAGCAAAATGACATTTGCAAAAATCTTCTATATACCAAAAAGGAGAAACACGCTCGTACAGTTGGCATTCTACACTCGCTCCTGCACTTACTGCTCTCGTTACATCTCTTTCTACCAAATGTGGAGCATAAGTCTTACCTTTGTGTGAGGAAATTTAGTCATATCACACATATGGCACTTAAGCGCTGCCCGAGGAATGACAACATTTGTGTCATCATGACTCTGAAATGAAAGTGTGATCCATCAATAAGATGCACAAGATAAAATATCTACACACAATAACCCCCAACACATTAAAATAAGCAATACACCATTTTTTTCTAGCAATCATTTTTTTTTGCCCCCATGGAGATTTGTGTCAGAATAGTAATGGTATATCAGGCTCGGCTCCCTTCATTATAGCATTTAAAATTAATCCCCATCCTCAGGCCTTGTCATCTATAAGCTGCTGAGCTATTCTTAATTAGAAAAAAATCTGAATTCATTTTTTCCCCATGATTTTTCCATGAGAATTTTTTTTTATTGTAGTCAAATGTAGAGAACATAGGATGTCTCTCGTCCAGTAAACAACTATTATTTACAGTTGTTAATTTGTTGTGTTTCCACAACTGCCAGTAAAAATGCATTATTCTTTTGATAATATTATGTATACAATATAGACTTAACTTTGAAGTCACCTTTTTGTTATTTTTCTTTAGAATATGATGCTGTACAAGCTTACATAAGAGAGAGCAACATGGCAGTGGGTGGACATGTTTGTTTTGTATTATTCTGTCGTGCTAAAGGTAATGTAGAGATTTGCGGCAAATGTTGTCCTTCAACGAGAAGTCAACATATATATCTATATAGAAGTATTAAAGTTATCTTGAGATGAGATGAGGTTATCTTGAGATGATTTCGGGGCTTTAGTGTCCCGCGGCCCGGTCCTCGACCAGGCCTCCACCCCCAGGAAGCAGCCCGTGACAGCTGACTAACACCCAGGTACCTATTTTACTGCTAGGTAACAGGGGCATAGGGTGAAAGAAACTCTGCCCATTGTTTCTCGCCGGCGCCCGGGATCGAACCCGGGACCACAGGATCACAAGTCCAGCGTGCTGTCCGCTCGGCTCCCAAATAATGACAAATAATGGACAAACTGGACAAATAATGACAAACATGGACAAATAATTACCTGTGGGGCTGATATTTTCTTGGTTACCTCATCTTCCTGCTTGACCTTAGTTTTATCTTCTGCCTCAGCATCTTTCATCTCTACATCATCTGCAACTTTCTCCTCAGATGCATCACCAGAACCACTGCAAAGACCACAAAATTAATGATGGAAAAAAAATTCAACAGAGTGAAGACCTAGTATCACATTCACGTGTGTATACTTGCTACGGAATAGTTAGTTCGCCATTACTTCTTGGCATAAATTCCCACCAGTATATTAAAAAGTAACCCCCCCTCCCACCTCAACCTTCAAAATGCCATTCCCAAGACCTTAAAAGATTACGTGTCAGTCACCCCCCTCCCCCAAACACTTAAAAGACAGTACCCCTCATAGCCTTAACCCCCGACCCACCTACACCATCCTATCCCCATCGCCCCCCAAACCTTTAAAGAATGAAAAGTTTTAAAATGCCTCTCGACTCTCCTCACCACACCTTTCAAAACAATTATACCTTCCCCTTCCCAATCTTAAAATGCTCTCCTGGAACCGTCAAACTGCCACCCACTCGCCCTCTGGCACATCCACAAGTTTAATATTGACATGCGGCTCCTGGAAGTCTAACCATGTTTTTTCCTTTTATTAACTTTACAGCATTACATGGAAATAAAAAACAAAGCCAGTGTTGAGTCTGCACTAGCCCGAATACTGTGACTGAGGAAAAATAGTAATTTCGTGAAACGACCTGCTGTTAAATCACATTCCTGGTCGCACGGACAAAATGTTAAATGTAAGGCCAGAGGCTTGGCAGGAGAGCACAGTTCCCGACCACTGGATAAAAGTCATTGTGGTACAGTACCTGTATACAAAGGATGTGCAGCGGGAAAAGACTGGGAATTAACAGTCAGCAAGGCTGCAAAATAAGAATAAGAGAAAATAGGATAAGGAGGAGGCTGTACAGACCAGATTATCACCAAAAGAATTGTTGTTGAAATGTTTCTGGTGAAAGAAAGAAAGTTGTATACTGTCAAATATGTATTTAGAAGTGAAAAAATTGATTGATCGTGCAAAGCACATTGGGATGTTTTTTAAGATTTATGGAGCAGGTGGGAACGTATTAACAGAAGGAAAATACTTTTACGCAAATGGCAGAGGTGCGTGCCAGTACGGCAAAAATTAGAGGATTTTACTATTTGGATGGCTGTAAGGCAGGGTTATGTAATGTCTCTCTGGCTCTAATACAGTGCAACCCCAAAAATCCAGACCCTTAATGTAGCGGATTTTACAAAAATCCAGACCAAAGCAGTTCATCAAATTTTTCCTCTGAACTCAGATTTCTATTAAAAAACTAGCCAGGTTTCATGGAAGATTGAAATCTGGATTGACAATTATCAAAAAACAATATACTGTATTTTTCCCTTATTTATCCTAATCTTGCTTTTTTGTTTTTTAATTACATATATTGCCACCAGGTAAACAGGCAGAGCTATTATTGGGCTGATTTCTGGCAAAACATTGCCCTCTTTAGACCAAGGCTTTTCACACCATTCCTATTGAGTGGTTATGGAAACAGCAGTTTTCCCTGTGGTGTGTGGGGGAGAATGTATGTTAAGCGAGTGAGTGAGTAAGCACGAGTAAGAGTGAGTGAGCGAGTGAGCAAGTAAGAGTAAGAGTGTGTGGTGTGTATGCCACCAAAATCATTGTTTATATATTATTTGTGTATCTAAATATACATAAATATATATATCACTTGCTTTAAAACAAGTCCAGAAACTTCGGTGGTAAAGAGAAGAGAAAAAAAACGCAGTTCTGGAAATCCGAACTTGTTGAGGTTCCCTGTACTGTATGTACATACTGTACATATATTTGCATGGGTTAGTGTGTTCTTCCAGCAGCCGCAATATTTACACACAACATGTAGGCATAACGGTTCTCCGAGAATTCCACAAAGTTATTTCTCTGCCTCGTTCTACAATTCGTAAACTGTAATATCAAAAATCACTTTAGATGTGTGCAACAGTGAAGACTAATAATGTTGGCAAGAAACGTCACACACAGGTGTAGCAAGACCTTGAACCAATAATGTATATGAAAAGTATTTTTATAATGTTGTGCTGTACATAGTTTACCTTGAATCAAATAACAAGAGATAGTATTATTAATATGCAACACACAAGCAGGTAGGTATTATATCAGGTGGTCCCCAAGACAAGGCTTGCAAGCTGCAAGCTGCTGATAAGAGCCTGTTGCGGAGAAAACCCACCAGACAATGGCAACAGTAAGAGGTCAAGTGGTCAAGTGCAGCTGAAAAATTGTCTAGAATATTTTAATAGAGTAAAGGTAATTACTGTATAGATGAAACCAAGGGAGATATTACAATAAATGTAGTTATAACAATTTTGCCATTATAATATGCATTTTTTTTTACATCATTGAGCAAATCCCCCAAATTAACGATCATGAGGATATGTTGGTGTGGGATACACACACACACACAGTCGAGTCACTTGACGACCGAGTGATATTACAAGGCTCCAGAAGCATGTTCCTCAACACACTGGTTGAGAAGCTTTACCTAGGCAAAACTCAACCATAAAATGAGGTCAGCAAGTGGGCTTAACTCAGCTTAAGTTCTTGGAATGCAGAGGTTTGACAGAGTCAGCTGAGAGCAACATATCGTGTAGGAGCTTACCTCTGTTTCACGTCAGCCTCGGCAGGAGGACTGTCTCCCTCAGCTGTGGCCCTCTCCTGCTCCCCTTCTTTTACATCTTGATTTACTTGTTTTGCTTCTGTTGCTGAAGACTTTTTCTCACTATCTTTGCTCTCCTTTTTTTCAGGACGAGGCATTTCTAGCCTGGCCATTTCCATTTCCCTTAACTGGGTTTGTGTCACCTCTCGATACTCCAAAGGACCACGAGCATAGCCGCTGATGCCACGGTAGCCCTTCAATTTCATCTTGCGAGGGTCTATGCGACGTTCTCGCTGGGGATCCCTGTGCATGGGTGGTGATCGCACCCCATCCTGTGGAAGACACTCACCACTCAGTTATCCCACAGCATTCACAGCCTCCATGCAGAGCCTCTCTCAGGGAACACACATCCCATCTTTATACAAGGCTCCGAATGCTCACCCCACTGAGCAACAATGACCAATCCACCATAAACCAAAGATTGGTGACAAAAAGTTTAAGATGTGATAATGCAGTACACTATCACCTACATTGGGACAACCCCCACAACATAAGTCTTCCAACTCAGATTTTGTGAAAGCATAACATGGATCTGAAATTTCTAATGTTTTAGTGGACTTCACCACATTCCTTAGGTCATTGTGGAGAAAAAATAATGGGCACTGTTCGTTCACGTTGTCATAAATGTGCCGTATCTCAGTTACAAAAACTTGACAAAAAAAAAGTTTGCAATAAACAGCCTCACCACACTTTTGACTTGCTAAGGAGGAATAAGGGTCATAGGAACTTGAACGCAGAAACAATTACACCGAAGAAAAAATCAGTGGAATCGATAATTTAAAAGCAGAAGGATCAATAAACTTTGCTTTGAACGTTAACGAATAATTTTCTAGAGGACACTAATTGGGTTTCACGTTCAATAAAACATGAATGATGAATGTGGTAATTTCCTTTATGACAATACGGATAAGAAAAGATTTTGAAGTTGTGACATGCAAGACTAGGAATGTAGAGCAGACTGGATCGCCTGCTCAACACTGGGGGATGACGACCAAGCAATAACAAACATGGGGTTAACTCGTCATCTCAGGCTCGTGCAACACGCGACAAAGGAAAACAAAAATAACGAGAAGACAAATGTTAATGCTCAGTGTGGACTACCACTCACCCAGTCCATACGCCTCATCTTCCTGGGCGGAGGTCCGTTGTCCCAGCGCTCACCACCACCACCACTCATCCCAGATGAATCCTGGCAGTGTGTTGTAAAACATCAATATAACAAGTTGCCTCTTTCACCAGAAATTATTAACAAATCATAATAATTGTGTACACACTTGCCTAGCATTGTACTGTATTGTACTTCATTTACAACTAAACCAAATTATTTTTAACACCAATATTTGTCCCAAATCACATTACACTGTGAGTCGCCTAGTATGCAACACATTACTTCAAAAGAAAATGTTTAGAAGTTTAGAATTGATTCCAATATTCATCATCTTCCCATCTGGTTACTACTACATTCACCGGCCTCATTACTCACACATGAGTATCCAGATTCACTAACCAACCCCATTCTAGCGACTCTACTTCATAATAGGCAGTCGAGCACACAATGCTCACATACATTCATCATAAATACAAGTTAACGTTCTAATAATACTTCTAACATGCTTTCCAATTCTCCCAGATATTACTTGCGTACTTCTAAATTAATCCAATGCATAACTAACCAACAATGACTTTTTAAAACACGTACTGAAGCCAGGACTGCATTCAAAATGTTCATGGCAATTTTGGACTCCCTGCCTCTCAGATGACTAAGCGACCGGTGCAGTTCTGATGATCCTCCTCTCTCCTTGAAGTGTCCGAAGCCCGACCCCGACCAGCTGCTCCCTGGACCATCTCGGAACCTTCATGTCAATGGACAAAATGTTTAGTGTCTGCTTGCTTAATTTAAATTTCATAAAGTTGTAATACCTACCTGTATTTTATCAGTACACTTTATGGCACAAATTCTATTTAAGTTTACAAACCACCCTAATATCATATCCTCAGAATACAACCCCAGTAAAGATAATTATTAATGTGACCTGTAATAAATAGTGTAATAGGAGCCATTTAGTAGCCTCCTTTACATCTCTAATAATTTACATTAAGCATTTTTTAATTAAGTTCCGTATGTCAAAAATAATTGTATTGTTCCATCAGGAAATTTAAATGCAACTCGGAAGTTGGCCGGAGTTGTGTAGGCTCCTCTTGAATACTTGCTCCTGTGGTGCCAGTATCCAGGAACATCCTTAAATCTCTTCCTTGCCAAGAGTTCTAAACTGTATGTCCACAACCACCACCATAATTTATCATTCAAAATGCTACTCTTGCTGTACCATATGAAGTACAGACCAGCACCCAAGCAACACTAGAACTTGTGAATACTGTACTGTATATGGCGTCTCACCAGCCCTGAGATACAGTACTCAAGATGGCACTTTGCAGAGGTACTCACCGACTCTGTCCATAGCTGCTCTCCCTGTAGCCTCCAGATCCTCCATGTCTTCCTCCGCCTTCATTCCATTTATTGTATCTTTCGCCCCCGTGTCTACTTCCGCCGCGTCCATAGCCTCGCCCTCCACCACTGCCGCTCTCGCGTCCCGCCTGGCCGAAACCACCACGGCCTCGTCCCCTACGGACCGAGTAAGTCGAGTAGCGTACACAGAAGAATAACATTACCTTAAAGCATTTTAGTGTCAATGACATCGCTAAACAACAATTATTAAGGCATTTTAGTGTCAATGACATCGCTAAACAACAATTATTACTACAAAAAGCAGACTCGCAAGACACATACCTGTAGCGTACACTACCGCTGCCTTCCCCATACCCTTCTCTATTGTAGTAAGCAGGCATCCTGTGACAAAGAGATACACAATCATTAACACACTTCAAACAAATTTATTGGTTAAAGTTAGTTTTAGGTTTCATTACTTCGTCAAAAGCTTTTAAAACCTTCTTGACATACAATATTAACTTCTGTCAAATAGAAGAGATTGTGATAAAGGCAAAATTGCTAATATAAAAGGAGGCCTGGGGGAGGCTGTGGTGCCTGGGGGAGGCAGGAGGGAGGCTGTGGTGCCTGGGGGAGGCAGGAGAGGCGCTGTGGTGCCTGGGGGAGGCAGGAGGGAGGCTGTGCTGCCTGGGGGAGGCAGGAGAGAGGCTGTGGTGCCTGGGGGAGGCAGGAGGGAGGCTGTGGTGCCTGGGGGAGGCAGGAGAGGCGCTGTGGTGCCTGGGGGAGGCAGGAGGGAGGCTGTGGTGCCTGGGGGAGGCAGGAGGGAGGCTGTGGTGCCTGGGGGAGGCAGGAGAGGCGCTGTGGTGCCTGGGGGAGGCAGGAGGGAGGCTGTGGTGCCTGGGGGAGGCTGTGGTGCCTGGGGGAGGCAGGAGAGAGGCTGTGGTGCCTGGGGGAGGCAGGAGGGAGGCTGTGGTGCCTGGGGGAGGCAGGAGGGAGGCTGTGGTGCCTGGGGGAGGCTGTGGTGCCTGGGGGAGGCAGGAGGGAGGCTGTGGTGCCTGGGGGAGGCAGGAGGGAGGCTGTGGTGCCTGGGGGAGGCAGGAGGGAGGCTGTGGTGCCTGGGGGAGGCAGGAGGGAGGCTGTGGTGCCTGGGGGAGGCTGTGGTGCCTGGGGGAGGCTGTGGTGCCTGGGGGAGGCAGGAGGGAGGCTGTGGTGCCTGGGGGAGGCAGGAGGGAGGCTGTGGTGCCTGGGGGAGGCAGGAGGGAGGCTGTGGTGCCTGGGGGAGGCAGGAGGGAGGCTGTGGTGCCTGGGGGAGGCAGGAGGGAGGCTGTGGTGCCTGGGGGAGGCAGGAGGGAGGCTGTGGTGCCTGGGGGAGGCAGGAGGGAGGCTGTGGTGCCTGGGGGAGGCAGGAGGGAGGCTGTGGTGCCTGGGGGAGGCTGTGGTGCCTGGGGGAGGCTGTGGTGCCTGGGGGAGGCTGTGGTGCCTGGGGGAGGCTGGGGTGCCTGGGGGAGGCTGTGGTGCCTGGGGGAGGCTGTGGTGCCTGGGGGAGGCTGTGGTGCCTGGGGGAGGCTGTGGTGCCTGGGGGAGGCAGGAGGGAGGCTGTGGTGCCTGGGAGAGGCTGTGGTGCCTGGGGGAGGCTGTGGTGCCTGGGGGAGGCTGTGGTGCCTGGGGGAGGCTGTGGTGCCTGGGGGAGGCAGGAGGGAGGCTGTGGTGCCTGGGAGAGGCTGTGGTGCCTGGGAGAGGCTGTGGTGCCTGGGGGAGGCTGTGGTGCCTGGGGGAGGCAGGAGGGAGGCTGTGGTGCCTCGGAGAGGCTGTGGTGCCTGGGGGATGCCTGGGGGAGGCCTAAGGGGTGCCTGGGGGAGGCGGCGTCACCCGCCATGCCTGCATGAGACCATCACCGCCACACACACACCTCCTGGCCACCTTCCTCCTCCCCACCACTCCTAACTCACCTCCTGCAGCAGTGACCAAGGTGCCGGTGAGGCCCCGAGGGTGAGGGAGCGAAGATGAGGCGTGTATGAGGATAATATTAGTGGCGACGGCGGCGGCGGGCGGGGACACTGTGGTGGTGAGGAGGGTGACTGTCAGACGGCTCACTACGCTGTCCCCAGCATCACACTGCCGCGTGTCGCTGCTTTCATCCCATAGATGGCGCTCATCATCTACTCTATCTCTACCTCTCTCTCTCTCTATCTCTCGCTCTCTCCTCATCTCTATCTCTCTGACTTTTTCTCTCTCTCTACCTCTCTCACTTTCTCTTTCATTCTCTGTCTCTATCTCTCACTTTCTCTCTTTATCTCTCACTTTCTCCCTATATCTCTGTCTTTCTCTCTTTCTCGTTATCTTTCTCTCTGACTTTCTTTCTCGTTATCTCTCTCTCTCACTTTCTCTCTTTATCTCTATCTCTCACTTTCTCCCTATATCTGTCTTTCTCTTTCTCCCTATATCTGTCTTTCTCTGACTTTCTTTCTCGTTATCTCTCTCTCTCACTTTCTCTATCTGTTTTATCTCACATATACACACTTTCTCACACACTATCTTTCTTTGTCTTTTCTAAAACTAAGACTAGGGTATGAATCATAAGGGCTGTCAAATGACGTACCTAGTGAAACTGCAAGCTAGAGCTGTTATCCTTCCTCAGCTCATCTGTAACCTGCTCCTAGAAACTCATTTATTTCATGAGAATATACTTTCAAACTGTCACATAGGGAAGTATCATATAAGGAACCTGGTGAAACTGCAAGCAAGAGCTGTATTCCTGCATCAGCTAAGTTGAAACCTACTCCTAGAAGACCATTTACTTCCTGAGCTTGTTATATTCATCAGTAGTAATAGCCTTTATTCATTAACAACATTAGGTAACAATCTCTTTCTCTCCCTCACTATCTCTGACTCTCACTCTCTCTTCTATCAACTGTATTATTAGTAATACAGTATTATATTGGAGCAAAGGGAATTTGCTCACTAGGGGATGTAGATGTCTTTGAATGCCTCTTATGCTGGGCAGGAACCAAGGAGCCAGTGGGAAGTCCCCCTCTGGATCCCCAAGCCGAGGCGCTGGAACAGGAAGCCAGCTGCTCTAGGAACTGAATACTTCTTTTCTTCATCAGAGACTTCCATACCTTGGGTCTCTATGTATGGAATGATTGCATAAATTTATTGGATTTAGAGAACGTCGATGATACTCAAGACAGTGCTAGAGTAATTTTGACCAGACCACACACTAGAAGGTGAAGGGACGACGACGTTTCGGTCTGTCCTGGACCATTCTCAAGTCGATCCTTCTAGAGTAATTGTTTATGGGCTCTGTGACATACATTTAGGAGTTTCGAAGTCTAGATAGATTAGCAATAAAGAATACGTCTTTGTAAGTATGGAGCGAGCATATATTTAGCTTGCTTACAAATTTAAACTGATTGACTGATTACCTGAATTCACTTGAGACCCATAATCTTTCTATTGGCCTTAACAAGGATAAGAAGCAGGTAAGTTCTCAACAGTCCCACTATTGTTAATGGGATTTTGTTTAAACTGGATTCTAAACTGAAGTAATGTCTTGGCAGTTACAGCTTCGGTGAGTTGGCGAAAAAGCATCTGTTTTCTGTCCTGCATTGTGTCTTGTTGAGCTTGAACCTGTTGCCCACTTATGTGTGTGTGTTACACATCACCTTTTAAAGAAATGGTTTAGATTAATATTTTCAAACTTGTTCTTAATATATCAACAAGTTCAGCTCCGTTATGTCTGGTTTGCAGTGTTGTTAGTTCTGAGACCCTCAACCATTTATGGTAAGAGTAAACTTAGTTCTTGGAAGATTTTGTTACCATGTTGAACTTTCTCCTAAGCAGGTATGTCCTCCATGCTTGTATACAATACTCCAGATGGGACACACCACAGACTTTGAAATTTGAATAACTATTTTCTTTTCCTTGGAGTCAAGGGTTCGTTTGACTAGTCCTACGGTATACCTGCTTGATGGCATTTTTACGGCAGCTCCCAATTGTTGTACAACTTTCAGTGATTCGTGGATCATAACTCCAAGGTCAGTTTCTTCATCAATCAACTGCAGAGTAGTTGTGTTAAGTTGTAATGTGCATCATTATGCCCTACATGCCGGGTCTTGCACTTTTTCAATATTGAAAGACATTTGCCAGTCATTTGACCATTTTTGAAATTCACACAAATCTCTTTGCAAGGCCTCTATATAACTTTCACTTCCTACTTTACCATAGATTTTGGCATCATCTGTAAATTTGATGTTTCTTTTTTATATATTCATCCATGTCATTTAAGTACATTATATGATAAATAGGACTGGCTCCAAGATGGAACCTTACAGTACCCTAAACTTACCACATTTTACCAGCCAGATTCATTTAGGATGGCCTTATGCCTTCTTTGTTTTAACCATTCTTTTGCTTTACCATTTATTCCATGCTCCTGTTAACTTCCTTGCCAGTCTTTCGTACTGTAAATTGTCAAAAGATTAAGAGACGTCCATGTATACGTAAGTGTACTGGAAGTCCTTTGTCTCGATACCTGGTTACCATCTTCATTTTTTAAAGTAAAATTACAGGTAAAAAAAGTATGGCTTCAGTTGTGATCAAAAAAATTATGTGCAAATTTTATGTAATAAGCACCTAGGAACTCCTTTCAGAAGAACAAAATATGTCCGGCAGTACGCCTGTATCTGCCAAAATCTAATAGCATCACATCAGTTTAACACTGTAATACACAAAAAATGCTTGATTTGTAGTCCAACACAAGTCAAATTTGGCATGGTATCTATACTTCTTGATAGTGTTGCCAGGGGGCAGTACTAGTGTTGACGTCCAGCTCATACAGTACCTTGTCTGGCCTTGTAACTACACTCTCTATACTCTACATCACCTAGTCAATAATTATAGTTCAACCAGAACATTGAAATTACTCCAAACCTTACAATAATCCACACTAGCATCAGCAAGTCATGCAGGATAAAATAAAGGCATTTTGTATTGTGAGGATTTATTCAAGAAAACTCACTGTTAGGATGATGGAAACTTGTATTGAAATCTTATTAGCGACTTAAGACGAGAGAGATGGTGCTGCCCCTTGTCCTAATACAGTAAAGTATGAGAGAAGACACGTATTCTGTTAACAATGTGCAGCAATGCTAGCTTCCAACCACTCACCTCAACCTAAACATTGCGGATAAATGGCCTTCATTTGAATGAATAAAACTTGCCTACACACATGAAATTAAATTTGTATTAAAAAGTGCACTGAAACCATATGTAATCAAAAAGTAAATTTGCAGTACGCACTGTACTATTGTAAGATATTTTTGTAACAGCTTCATATTTAATATAATCACACACATACTTAACATGCACACACACACACTTCTCACTTGCATCCCTTAAAGCCATATGCCAGTCATGCAGGGTGTAGCCTGCAGGCACCAGGAACAACTGGGTCTGTGGGTTGGACAAGACAGAGCAAGTAGCTCGGTAACACCTCACACTAGTCGTGCAGGGTGCAGCCTGCAGGCACCAGGAACAACTGGGTCTGTGGGTTGGACAAGACAGAGCAAGTAGCTCGGTAACACCTCACACTAGTCGTGCAGGGTGTAGCCTGCAGGCACCAGGAACAACTGGGTCTGTGGGTTGGACAAGACAGAGCAAGTAGCTTGGTACACACCTCACACTAGTCGTGCAGGGTGCAGCCTGCAGGCACCAGGAACAACTGGGTCTGTGGGTTGGACAAGACAGAGCAAGTAGCTCGGTACACACCTCACACTAAAACATTCACCCAACCTGCCTGGGTGAATGGTCAAATTTCTGGCACGAGTACACCAACTCGAGTTAAGTTCTGTCGCAATCATTCATTATCTATCATTTATTCATGATTCAATTTTATCATCAAGAATTTAACAAGATGCAATTAACACTCATCCAAACAAAGTGACTAATTCTTTGCAAGTTCCACATAGCATATGCTAAACATTCACTCGGTCATTTATTGCTAAACTATTGACTAGTCCAATTATGAACAGCTTCTCCGAGGATCTCAAGTGGATTGTGCTAGTGGACTGAACTTACAAATTTGTTACAAAAATTATATATTATTCAGACTTTTTCATTAATATTAGCCCCTTGACATTTTCTTAAACAACAACCAGTTTAGAGATATTCTATATAAACTGACAAGTTAAAATCCCTTACTGGTTTGGTCATATCACTCCTGGAGTCCCCAAGCTTATATACAGTGCTATTATCACTTTAATAAGCTTTCTTACAGAAACCTTAAGAAACCAAAATTGCCCCCACAAAGTTCCAATAAACCATTCATTATAAAACCTAGATAAACCTCATTCTTGAAACAAACCTTAAGATTTTTGGATGCCCATTTTCTTCAAGAACCATTGTTTCCTCTTACATTATTAAGTGACTGTTATTGTCAAATGAAGAAAGGTTGTCGTCACTTAGTTCTTGGTGGAGCGTCCTCGGCCTCTCCCTCTACCCCTTCTGGCTCGGGGTGTAGCCACTGCTCCGCCACTCTTGGTCTTGGCCTCGCTAGACGTGTCTTCCTCCACTGCCACAGACGGCTTCTGCTCATTTTCCTCGCCTATTCCTTCCTCTGACTTAATTAAAACTGCTAACTCCTTTGTTTCACTTGCTAACTCCTTTGTTTTACTTGCCAACTCCTTTGTTTCACTCGCTTCTTCCTCTGTTGTTTGTGTCTCAATCTTTATTCTGCAGTCAACACAAGAAAACATATGAAATAAAAATTGTTTACATTGTGAAGGTTCAAATTAAACTAGTCAATGAAAGCTCAATCAATACAAAATAACAGAAAAGACATGTAGCTAGAGGTGTGCATGCAGTGATTGTACCTTCCCCTTATGTGCTATACCAGTGCATGCAGTGATTGTGCCTACCCCTTATGTGCTATACCAGTGCATGCAGTGATTGTGCCTTCCCCTTATGTGCTATACCAGCACATGCAGTGATTGTGCCTTCCCCTTATGTGCTATACCAGCACATGCAGTGATTGTGCCTACCCCTTATGTGCTATACCAGTGCATGCAGTGATTGTACCTTCCCCTTATGTGCTATACCAGCACATGCAGTGATTGTGCCTACCCCTTATGTGCTATACCAGCACATGCAGTGATTGTGCCTACCCCTTATGTGCTATACCAGCGCATGCAGTGATTGTGCCTACCCCTTATGTGCTATACCAGCGCATGCAGTGATTGTGCCTACCCCTTATGTGCTATACCAGCACATGCAGTGATTGTGCCTACCCCTTATGTGCTATACCAGCACATGCAGTGATTGTGCCTACCCCTTATGTGCTATACCAGCACATGCAGTGATTGTGCCTACCCCTTATGTGCTATACCAGCACATGCAGTGATTGTGCCTACCCCTTATGTGCTATACCAGCGCATGCAGTGATTGTGCCTACCCCTTATGTGCTATACCAGCACATGCAGTGATTGTGCCTACCCCTTATGTGCTATACCAGCACATGCAGTGATTGTGCCTACCCCTTATGTGCTATACCAGCACATGCAGTGATTGTGCCTACCCCTTATGTGCTATACCAGCACATGCAGTGATTGTGCCTACCCCTTATGTGCTATACCAGCACATGCAGTGATTGTGCCTACCCCTTATGTGCTATACCACAACCCGTTCTCGCAAATTTAATAAGTCAATATTGACTTATTAGTTGCGTGCATAGGTGACATACTAAACATAATAGTTTCCCTTGAAAAGCTTCATAGAAAACACCGACCTTACCTAACCTACTTAGTATGTTAAGATAAGCATCTTATTGCTTCGTAATTACAATTATTACCTAACCTATACCTATAATAGGTTAAGTAACAATTGTAATTACGAAGCTATAAGATGCTTATTTTAACATACTAAGTAGGTTAGGTAAGGTCGGTGTTTTCTATGAAGCTTTTCAAGGGAAACTATTATGTTTAGTATGTCACCTATGCACGCAACTAATAAGTCAATATTGACTTATTAAATTTGCGAGAACGGGTTGTATACCAGCACATGCAGTGATTGTGCCTACCCCTTATGTGCTATACCAGCACATGCAGTGATTGTGCCTACCCCTTATGTGCTATACCAGCGCATGCAGTGATTGTGCCTACCCCTTATGTGCTATACCAGCGCATGCAGTGATTGTGCCTTCCCCTTATGTGCTATACCAGTGCATGCAGTGATTGTGCCTTCCCCTTATGTGCTATACCAGCACATGCAGTGATTGTGCCTACCCCTTATGTGCTATACCAGCACATGCAGTGCTTGTGCCTACCCCTTATGTGCTATACCAGTGCATGCAGTGATTGTGCCTTCCCCTTATGTGCTATACCAGCACATGCAGTGATTGTGCCTACCCCTTATGTGCTATACCAGTGCATGCAGTGATTGTGTCTACCCCTTATGTGCTATACCAGCGCATGCAGTGATTGTGCCTACCCCTTATGTGCTATACCAGCACATGCAGTGATTGTGCCTACCCCTTATGTGCTATACCAGCACATGCAGTGATTGTGCCTACCCCTTATGTGCTATACCAGCGCATGCAGTGATTGTGCCTTCCCCTTATGTGCTATACCAGCGCATGCAGTGATTGTGCCTTCCCCTTATGTGCTATACCAGCACATGCAGTGATTGTGCCTACCCCTTATGTGCTATACCAGCGCATGCAGTGATTGTGCCTACCCCTTATGTGCTATACCAGTGCATGCAGTGATTGTGCCTTCCCCTTATGTGCTATACCAGCACATGCAGTGATTGTGCCTACCCCTTATGTGCTATACCAGTGCATGCAGTGATTGTGCCTACCCCTTATGTGCTATACCAGCGCATGCAGTGATTGTGCCTACCCCTTATGTGCTATACCAGCACATGCAGTGATTGTGCCTACCCCTTATGTGCTATACCAGCACATGCAGTGATTGTGCCTACCCCTTATGTGCTATACCAGCGCATGCAGTGATTGTGCCTTCCCCTTATGTGCTATACCAGCGCATGCAGTGATTGTGCCTACCCCTTATGTGCTATACCAGCACATGCAGTGATTGTGCCTACCCCTTATGTGCTATACCAGCGCATGCAGTGATTGTGCCTACCCCTTATGTGCTATACCAGCGCATGCAGTGATTGTGCCTTCCCCTTATGTGCTATACCAGCGCATGCAGTGATTGTGCCTACCCCTTATGTGCTATACCAGCACATGCAGTGATTGTGCCTACCCCTTATGTGCTATACCAGCGCATGCAGTGATTGTGCCTACCCCTTATGTGCTATACCAGCACATGCAGTGATTGTGCCTACCCCTTATGTGCTATACCAGCACATGCAGTGATTGTACCTTCCCCTTATGTGCTATACCAGCACATGCAGTGATTGTACCTTCCCCTTATGTGCTATACCAGTGCATGCAGTAATTGTGCCTTCCCCTTATGTGCTATACCAGCGCATGCAGTGATTGTGCCTACCCCTTATGTGCTATACCAGTGCATGCAGTAATTGTGCCTACCCCTTATGTGCTATACCAGCACATGCAGTGATTGTGCCTACCCCTTATGTGCTATACCAGTGCATGCAGTAATTGTGCCTACCCCTTATGTGCTATACCAGCGCATGCAGTGATTGTGCCTTCCCCTTATGTGCCTATACCAGCACATGCAGTGATTGTGCCTTCCCCTTATGTGCTATACCAGCGCATGCAGTGATTGTGCCTTCCCCTTATGTGCCTATACCAGATGATGACGAGATCTAAACAGAAAACATCAAGAGTTAGAGCAGACGTAAACAATGGAAGATGCATGCTTGCTCTTGGATACTGTAAGAACAAGACGGCAAGTTTGAAGGCAAGACGAGGCTGGACAGGTGTGTAAAACAGCAGAGATTTTGTGCCAATGATGAACATATTTTCCTGGTGCATAATGGTACCTAATCTTGCTCCACTACGCCAACACAAGTTTAATAATGACAAATCCACAAGGGCCGTGACGAGGATTCGAACCCACGTCCGAGAGCATCCCAGACGCTGCCTTAATCGACCGAGCTACGACGTGGTAGTTTTGTTCGTTTGATTCATCACGCTATTGTGATTTCTGTGTAAATAAAGACAAAGGTTATACAAGTAGCAAGTCTTAAAACACTACTCCTCACCTGCACTTATCCTCTTCATCAACTTCAGAGTCTATTTTCTCACTGGACTGACTTTCTTTGGCAGATTTTGAGGTAGTCTTCTCTTCCTCTGCTTCCTTATCCTCCTCTTCCTCCGCTTCCTTATCATCCTCCTCTTCTGCTTCCTTATCCTCCTCTTCTGCCTCCTTATCCATCTCCTCCTCAGCTTCCTTATCCATCTCCTCCTCAGCTTCCTTATCCATCTCCTCCTCATCTACATCCTATGTCAAGCAGGAAATGGTAAAATTTAAGAATGTAGACAGTGTACAATACCTGTTAAAACTACACCACATTAACACACCTGTATGGAACACACATGTAAGGAAGATGACAAATCTTAAGTGAGAACATATCACCATCACTAATAATGTCAACTACACCCAATTTAACAATTCACTCAAGAATTTGATGGTTGAATCACTCTAGGGAGCTCAATGCATCAACGCAACACAGACAAAGGGTAGTGACCACAGGCTAGTGGTAGGGACAACTTCAAGAGCAGATTTTATAAATCTGTTAATGTAGAGAGAGGTAAATAGTGCATCGGGTATAAATGTTTAGGAGAGGGGCATAAGAGCTAGGTCTCGCTCCCCCATAGTCAGCGATATGTAAGCACCTGGGGTTATTGCTGACAACACCTCATCTTCATTTCTGTAGCTATTATAATCTTGAGAGGTTATCTTGAGATGATTTCGGGGCTTCATTGTCCCCACGGCCCGGTCCTCGACCAGGCCTCCACCCCCAGGAAGCAGTCCGTGACAACTGACTAACACCCAGGTACCTATTTTACTGCTAGGTAACAGGGGCATAGAGTGAAAGAAACTCTGCCCATTGTTTCTTGCCGGCGCCCAGGATCGAACCCGGGACCACAGGATCACAAGTCCAGTGTGCTGTCCGCTCGGCCAACCAGCTCCTGGTGTTAAATGGACACATTTAACACACACTGTCTATAAAATAATTATAAAATGAATAAAATTCAGTTCAGGTAGCTGATTCTATGGTTCAAGACATATGGGAGAAGGTTCCAGGCCTATGGGACACCTTGTATACATGATTACTGTGAAACTTACACCGTTTTGTGGTTCCTCTCCTCCATTGTCACTGTGAACTTGCTCTTCATCCTCGGCCGCTACATTGTTGACGTCGGCGCTAGTGTCCATGTCTCCGTCATCCGACGCTTCGTCTACCGTTTCCATGTTGTGCATGTCCTCAAAACTTATCTCTTCTCCTTCATCCTGTTCCCCATTCTTCTTCTTTGTTTCAGCTTCCTTTTCTTTCTTCAACGCTTCCTCCTCTTCACGTTTCTTTTTCTCGAGTTCTGCCTTTTGAGCCTCTTTTTCGAGTCTCTTTCTCTCCAGTTCTTTCTCCTCCTGGATAAGAAAACACGAGATCAAGTAACTGAAGTACCAGTCAAATGGGGTCTGAAGCGTAATGCAAGAACACCACAAAATGAGAGGAGTAAGCAAGCAAGCAAAGACAGTGCCAACTGTACTTGTGCAGTTTTCCAACTGCACTAGTCAAGGCAATCACTCCCACTGTATGTACCCCATTCTTAAGACGTGTATCATATTTGCCAACTCACTTCCACTTTGTTAAGATGATTCAACAAGTTGTTGTAATGATCTAGAGACGTGAAGTGCTCCTCGGTCTCCGCGGCACTCTGCAAGCGCACCTGAGGACATACCCCACACCGGTAGTGCATCTTCTTCCAAATAAAGTTTAATCCTGAAACAATGGATACATCAAATATAGCACAAATTAAAGATATAACTATAATTACAAAGTTAATAACCATTTGCCAAGACCTCGTACTTAAAAACCAATTAGTTACAAAATATTGTTGTAGCATGATAAACCAGTATGACAATACATAACACGATTTTGGAAGCTCACGATAAAAAAAAATTAATACTGTATACACCTATATATATGGTCAGTTATTATCAAAAGAAGGCACCGAGCTGGGAGACTGTAGTAGCTGTAAATATAAAGGGGAAAGTTGTACAACAATGCCAATTATGGCCTCCTAGAAGTGTTATATGGGTATTATCATCATACACTTACCACCCTACATACACATACAGTACATTCCCACACCATACCTTGGGGTAGGGAAGGGTCATAAGGCAACAGTGTTTCTGGATTCAATACTTCTGCTGACTTGCTTTTCTTCTTCAACTCCTTGATAGCTTCAGTAAGCAGCTTTCCTTCCTCTGTAAGGTAGACAAATATGACAAATACATCATTACACGAACCTGTTAAATCATATAATGGTTCCGATATACAAGTACAGTATTAACATAAAACTCTTGCATCGAATGTAATGAACTGCTCCTCCCTGGTCAGCCCCTCGATACCTTTCCCAAAACTTGCATGCTAGTTCTATCCCTTCAGATCATACCAGGTTCCTGGGGCTTGCCCTTGACCACAATCTGCTTCTCTCAATGAGGTGAGGGAAAAACAGGGATCAGAGAGTGACATAAAATCTGAGGAAACCATCCAGAAAGTCCAGGTGAAAAACAGAAACCACTGCTTAAAAGTAAGACGTGAAAAGTGGAATAACGCAAACAATAGTCGTCAGCAGTTAAGCAACCTTAATTCCAACACTCCCGCCCACCATTGGAATGCAGCCCCAGGGCATTCAGGGTCCCGACCAATAATTCACCTCGTGCGTTGTCAATACAAACTCCAAAACCCCAAACAACCGTGGAACTACAGAGGGGCTCACCAGCCGTGGACAGTTTATTGTAATCAACACTATTACTGGGTTTACACTTTCATTAGATCTCTGTGGGATAACACACACACACACACACACCAGCACCCTAGAGAAAATGATTATACTGAAAGAGCACACCAAGATGGATGAGGAAAGGAAAGTGAATTATCAGAGGAAAGCTCCATGCCATTACGAATATATAGCACTGGGAAGGAATCTAGATAAGGATTTAGGGTGGGACAGAGGAAAGTAATAGGGCGTACCCCTGAGAAAAGCACAAGACCAGGATACAGAGAAGAGGGGACAAGAGACTGGCAGAAGAAAAAATTACCAAGAACCCTGGAAGAACAGCCAAGAGGAAAAAAGAATAAATGAAAAGAAACATGACCACAACCAGCAAGCAGGGACGGGAAGTCAATCAAGATTGAGCAGCAGCAGCAGCAGCAGCAGCAGCAGCAGCAGCAGCAGCAGCAGCAGCAGCAGCAGCAGAGAAACCTACCATAACAACACTTCCCTGGAAACTTTTTTTTTGTTTGAGATATATACAAGAGTTGTTACATTCTTGTACAGCCACTAGTACGTGTAGCGTTTCGGGCAGGTTCCTGGAATACGATCCTCGCCGCGAAGAATCGTTGTTACAACCAAGTACACATTTTACTGTTGAGTTAAACAGAGGCTACAGTTAAGGATTTGCGCCCAGTAAATCCTCCCCGGCCAGGATACGAACCCATGACAGCGTTTGCGGACCACCAGGTGAGTGTCTTACCACTACACCACGGAGACTGGGAAATGACCTGGGAAGCAGAGAGCAGGGGGTCACCATAGAAAAGTCTCATACCCAACCTGAAACAAAGAACCCAAAAGAAAAAACAAACAACCCAGAGAAACTACAAAGAAAAAGTTGAAAATATCAGCTAAAGCACATGCCCCAAAGAAAGAGTCAAATTCAGGTGCAACAAATTATCACACAGCTAATTTGTAGGACCCAAAACTCCTCAGAGAAGATACTTCAAGTGAAACAATAATGATGCAGGCCGAGAAAAAAAAATAGTAACACATGAGGACAATTGTTCCAAGAAAGACCAATCACTTCAGCTTAAGAAAATCAGTGAAGAGTTACCACAAGAGGTGGGTAGTTTATACACTACCAATTGTTGCTTCCCCTTTAATTTCTTTCATGCAGTAATTTTTGTTCCATCTGGACTTTCTAGTTGGTGGGTGCTGGGTTTTTGGGTCGATCTCCGATCCCAATTCTTGCCACGTCTCGTTCAGAACAGATTCCGGTCACAGGTCCTAGTAGGCCTGCATGCCTCGGGGGCCTCGACAACTTGGAGGCTCAACAGTGCCAGTGCTTAAGCTTAGGCAAGCTAATGAAGGAGCAAAAATGCTAAAGTACCCAAGCATATTCTACATATGAACACAGTAACTGCAACTCACCATTCTCAGGAACACCAGTGTCCTCTGTTGCCTCTTCCTCCTGTTTCTGCTCCAGTTCCAGCTGATTCTGTGGGAAGAGGTCAACATTTGTATTTCTAAATTTCTAAGACGCCAAGTGATGGTGTTACTACACGTGGGTTTGTAAGATGACGACTCGCATAAGGACTGGGCCTTAGTCCCAGGATGAACCCTCTTGTTTATTCCTATACAATACAGTATTATAATTATCCAAATATCTTATCAAGGATTAAATTAGCTGAACCAATTCTTCTGAATGTATTTACTGAACAATATAGGTCGTGACCTTGGTTCATAAAAAAAATACAAGTGAAGAGATCCAAGCTTACCTTAAGGTGGAGAAGGGAGAGTCTGTGTTCTTCCAGATCTGCCCTGTTGAAGTAGGTGTTGTTGCAACATTCAACACGCAGGTAGTTCCTCAACGCCTGCGAGTACACACAACATCTTAACATACAAAGCTGTTTGTATTCACATTTATATCCTATTTAGAGAAAAGTATACAGGACTGAACTACACTTGAAGCAAATAGTGTACAACACGGGAGCTGGACTACCCCACCCGGTCTCTCTTAATCAGTAATGCAGTAGAGTATTTTAGTGTTTGTACCAGGTCATGTGATGAGGTCAACAGCTTTACAGCATGGATGACCTCTGCAGCCAAAGGAGAACCAGCTACTTTGGCCAAGCATGTTGTCGACTACATTCTACATTTTGAACAGTAATGTGCACAGTTCTCAGGATATATATTTATGGTCCTTAGAACCCTACGGGAACTTCACCCTACAGCTAATATCCCTAGTGACATTTTGGTCACCCTCGACACCCTTGTTTGGTCACCACTTAGCATAAAAGGTACTTAAAGTTGTTACCAACTCACAATGTGTTCCGTTGTCTTGGCATGTTCTCGTATGTAACCAAAGACGTCACACTGACACTTGCGGCAGCGCATGACGGGGCCCTTCATTCCTCGTCGCTGACTCTTCAACATTCTTCGTTGTGATGCTAGCTGCAACATCAAAGATGATTTGCAAATAAAATGAAACTCGTATGAAGCATTTGTTTTTCACATTCTATGTTTAGCATGCTAAATAAAATGTCATTATTTATTGTAATTGAAGATCTGCTTAGTACTTTTCTTTAAACAAGGAAAAAAAAGAATGGAAAAATCTCATTAAAAATAGAAAAAGCAATATTTGATCAAATTTTGAAAGTAAGACATCTACTCCGTGGAACGATGCCCGCACATAATTTACTTCTTTACCTTGGACTCGGCTCTCAAAAAATGGAGAACAGCAGCACCCTTGGCGTGGAATGAATACTTCATATTGACGTGCTTCCTGCTCTTCAGGTGTCGCAAGTATGCCTGTCAAGAGCCCAATACTATTATGTAGTCATGTGTTGTTATTATTATTCACACCCTCAAATGGGGCTCACCATGCCTATATATCATTCTGACCCAAATACAGGCTTGCCCCGACACAGTGGCCACAGCGCAGGCTTGCTCCGACACACTGGCCAGTGTACAATATTACAGAGGTGCTTATAACTTTATTGAATTCTATTAATTTCATTAAATTTTTTTACTGTATAGAACACTATTACTGAATAGAGTGTGTGACTACAAAACAAGGTAATACACGAGAGGAGGATTTTGTGAATGTGCACATCAAAACACCAGTGAAACACCTAATAATTAACAGTCCTTAACTGTAACACTATTATTATTCATCTTGGAGTACCTTGATGTCGGGGAACTTGGAGAGATTGCACATGTGGCAACGAAGAGCTTCCCTGGGCAACCAACTGATTTCATCAGTCTAGAAAAAAACAATTGTAATTAGTGCCTATTAAAGTCTGCGAGTTGTTTCTATAGACCGAGACATACAAAATATACAAAGTGCCAAGTGTCTCCAACACAGACAGTATTATGCATCTAAATTGACTCCCAAACATTACTGATGAAAACAAGACCATAGTGATACAACAATCATCATCTTTACCCCCCGTCCCCATACACATGGAAGAAGTCCCCTACATACATAGAGGCTTTAATAGCAAAGCAGTGAGAGATCATAAATATTACAAAATATCATTTTCATTTATTACAATTTCCTCTAGAGTATTGTATATAGCATCACAGATAAACTATGTACCACCATATTCCACCAGTCATACAACGAAGCAACCAACCACTTCGTACAGAAGTGTACAACCAGGTGTTCACGAGACACTCGACACGCACAGTGTATTATAGACTAACCTGATCTACCTCCTCTGTCTGCTCCTCAGTGGTGTCCTGTGCGTCGGCCTCGGGTGCCTCGCTAGTGGGGTCTTCTACTTCCTTCGCCACTTTCTCTGCCTCACTGTCAATGATAACTCCACGATTTACTTTATAATCAATTACCCCAAGTCAACACAGTTACCCTTCTTACAACTGTAGTAAGGTGCCCAGGCAATCCCAGCATAAATGAACAATATACAAACAAACGGCACAGTGTTCACCAACCTCTAGGACCGTCATCATCCCCGTGAGTCACTTCTAGTTCACCAGTCACCCGCGAGTCACTGCTAGTTCACCAGTCAAGTCATAACAGTTTACATCGGTGATTATTCACAAGAGTCACACTCGGGATACTTTGTAAACTCGCCCAAAACAGTCCAGTAATGGTCATAATTGCCTCGTTCATTTGCCACTCATCAACACTTGTGTACTACATCAATATGAAGAACCATTCTACACTTCCAACACTTCACAAAATGGTGAGGGACTTGCAAACTTGTGCTCAAAAAATAAAAAACAAAACATACTGTGATAGCAGAAAAAATCAATATTTGAGCCCTTGTCAAAATGCCATCAATTACATTACATATACTGTACTCATTTAACATACTTTCTTGCAAATTCACTAATGGGTTCATGTCAAAGATGTCAACCAGTTTGGAGAAAACCAATTATCTCGTCAACTACAGTACAAGTATTGCCTAACAGAGAGAGATGAAGTAGAAACTTGAAGTTCCTCAAGTGATAATCTTAAGAAGCAATACTGTACCACGGAACTCCACAAAATTAACAGCAATATGTACAAACCACCTTGGGTACTGAGAGAATGAGCAACCAAGCTCAACATTCTACTTCAATTAATATTCCAAACATCTTTGTGCACAAGGAACTAGGCAGATACAGTATATAGAAAGAGGCAAACATTTCCAATCTACTAAAATGGTAGCAGAGAAGACCCTATAAACTATAGGCCCGTATCATTAACAAGCGTGGCAGTCAAAACACTAATAAAAGAGGGAATATTTTTTCTATTTTATTTAAATTATTATTTTAAGTTAAAATAGTTAAAACCAAATGGGTCAAACTGAAAAAGGTGCAAAGGCATCCTACAAAATGACTTCCAGAACTGAAAACAAGAGCTATGAAGAGAGGCTAGAAACCTTAAATATGCCTAAACTAGAAGATAGAAGAAAGAGGTGATATGATCGCCCCTTACAAAATAATAACAGGAATCGACACAATTGACAGAGGAATTCCTGAAACTGGCAACCCTCAAGAGCAAGAGGTCATAGATTCAAGCTAGGGAGCCGGTCGACCGAGCGGATAGCACACTGGACTTGTGATCCTGTGGTCCCGGGTTCGATCCCAGGCGCCGGCGAGAAACAATGGGAAGAGTTTCTTTCACCCTATGCCCCCTGTTACCTAGCAGTAAAATAGGTACCTGGGTGTTAGTCAGCTGTCACGGGCTGCTTTCTGGGAGTGGAGGCCTGGTCGAGGACCGGGCCGCGGGGACACTAAAGCCCCGAAATCATCTCAAGATAACCTCAAGATAGGGAAACAAAAATACAGAAAAAAATATTTGAAAGTTTTCTCTTGCAAACAGAGTGGTAGATAGTTGAAACGAGTTAAGTGAGAAAGTGGTGGAGGCCAACACCACCAGTACTTACAAAGCATTACATGACAGTGCAGGGAAAATGGGACACCACGAGCGTAACTCTCATCCTGTAACTACACTTAAGTAATTACCAGGAGACCTGGTCAGAGACTGGGCAGCAATGACATAGATCCTTGAAACCACCTCAAGATAATCTCAAGGAACATTTATAAATTAACACCTTTGGTCCTAATTAGAAACTGTCTCTTTCCTCAATTAGAATCTTCCCCAGATATGGCAATCTTTGCCAGCGTGTTTATTGAATTAACACTCAAATGATTACCGAAACCATTTAATACCGATTCACACACTAATATAGATATCAAACAAGGGAAGCAGTACTCACTTGGTCGCTTAGACAAGCAGGAATACAAGGAAAACTGATGAGTGTTTCAAACAGGTGCGAGACAATCTATTAATGTCAAGTCAAAACAACACATCAATAAATGGGACAAATAAAAAAAAAAAAAAGAGCATTCAGCGATTGACAAACTGATCAAGAAATTTTGTCATGCTGTTATGAAATTTGGCGTACAACTATTCAGTGAAAAAGTTGGATGGGAACAGTCACACTGTGGGGAAGAGTGTACCTGTCCACCAGTCACACTGTGGGGAGAGTGTACCTGACCAACAGTCACACTGTGGGGAGAGACACTGTGGGGAGAGTGTACCTGACCAACAGTCACACTGTGGGGAGAGTGTACCTGACCAACAGTCACACTGTGGGGAGAGTGTACCTGACCAACAGTCACACTGTGGGGAGAGACACTGTGGGGAGAGTGTACCTGACCAACAGTCACACTGTGGGGAGAGTGTACCTGACCAACAGTCACACTGTGGGGAGAGTGTACCTGACCAACAGTCACACTGTGGGGAGAGTGTACCTGACCAACAGTCACACTGTGGGGAGAGTGTACCTGACCAACAGTCACACTGTGGGGAGAGTGTACCTGACCAACAGTCACACTGTGGGGAGAGTGTACCTGACCAACAGTCACACTGTGGGGAGAGTGTACCTGACCAACAGTCACACTGTGGGGAGAGTGTACCTGACCAACAGTCACACTGTGGGGAGAGACACTGTGGGGAGAGTGTACCTGACCAACAGTCACACTGTGGGGAGAGTGTACCTGACCAACAGTCACACTGTGGAGTGCAGTAAAACTTAAGCAACAACAAGGGCCATCTGAATTTCCCATTACCAAATTTATATTTCCATGAGCAGCAGACACCAGTCAGTCATCTACCTACAGAAGTCAGCTAACCCCCAAGCGCCTCGCAATGTTAAATTTGGGGACGAGTTTATTATAAGAACCTTCAAATCTAAATACATACAGTAATGTAAATTCAATTCTAAGTACATGTTAACACATCTGATTAGCTACAAGGCAAGATCCATAAATCAAGGAAAAGCAGCCAATCTCCCACACCCACAGGCGAGAAACAAGTCTCGTTGGTGGAGATTCCGTGAGGCACGGGTGTAATAGAGGTAAAGGTAGGCAGCTTACCTCAGGCTGGCATCAGCTGCAAGTTCCACATCCTCTGCATCAGCATTATCCCCCTCTGGGTCATCTGATGATTTTGCCTCATCCCTCACCTTCTGGTCCTTAGCAGGGCCCTTACTACTCCTGGTATCGTGCCAGGGCTTACCACGCCGGGCCTTTACCACTTTCCTGGATTGGTACTCATTCCCGTCGTGATGTTCACTGGGGCCGTAGGCGTGGCCGCCTCTTCCGCGGCGTTCCCAGGTGCGCCGGGGGTTGTAGTGGTCACGCTGGGGATACTTGCGCACAGGTGGTTGATGCATTCCATCCTGTGGAAGACACTCACCGCTCAGTCATCCCCTCAGCAAATAATGCCCTTAAGCTGACCTTCTCCGAGGGATGGACTCCCACATTAGCACAAGGCTGTTTCTGACCTTGGCAGACCAATACAGGTAAATTATTGGTTGGTCTAGGACCAGAGGCAGAGAAGCACAATGTGGAACAGTCTCCACCACTTGCCCTAAACCTTCGGGCAAGAGAAGATCACTTTAATAATTTAAAGCACTTCAACACTGACACACAGATGTCAATCATTATTAATCTCTTAGATCATCCCATATTGCAAGCTTGGGATATTAACCTAATGATATGGTGCAAACTCTTTACTTGCAAATACTGAAATTATCTCCAAGTGCAGTAGAAAACAGTACTTTCATCAAAATATCAAATGGTCTTTATGATAATCTGTCATCATGAGAGGCAGGTCAAAATAACCTACCACCATAACACACTTGAACATAAATATACTATTATGAGCAATTGTCAAAGTGGTCAATAAAAGCCACCGGCATAGAGCATCTCACCTGTGTGTGTCCTAAACCACACACACACACTTCACATTACACATTGGCTGGTGTAGTAAGCCAAGAGACCTGTATGTGGCAATCATTAAATAATAGTGCACCTGTATATAACACTTCACAAGGTGTCAAGTGCTATAGGAAGCCAACAGTGTCCTACGTAAGAAGGTTCACGTAAGAAGGTTCACGTACGCAAGTACAGTATTCTCATCACCTGCTCACGACATGCTGCAGAGCAAGTCTTGGGGTCCTTTATCAAGCCCAGTAATGATCCATGACAATAACATCACAACTATTTTCTCTATTTCACAACTTTGTAGTCACACGATAAATAATTTACATGCAAAGTGTCATGCTTGTGTGTGGACCTCTGTCCTTGTACATGGAAGCTTTAAAACATAGCGGCAGGTAAATATGTACATTAAGTTACATGTTAACCTTGTAATAATAACCGTCTCCACTGTTAAAACACTTACAAGAGAAGGTTAAGATAATGCTCCTTCAGAGGCATTAGTCATGCAAGAACCTCTTCACTAGTCATTCATCTCTTTTATATTATGATTTACAGTATAAACAATTATATTATTCATGCCAAACTAAGAAATACTTTCTCTTACACCAGGCACCACACGTACCTCCGGACACTGTGGGCACTTTCTCTTGATGTCAACTGGCGACACCGGCAGGATGAAAATATTACATAACCCCGATACTCTGGTGGATACGGTTCTGGGAGTTGTTCTCCTCAAGCCTGGCCCGAGGCCAGGCTTGACTTGTGAGAGTTTGGTCCACTAGGCTGTTGCTTGGAGCGGCCCGCAGGCCCACATATCCACAACAGCCCAGTTGGTTTGGCACTCCTTGGAGGAAACAATCTAGTTTCCTCCAAGGAAACTCCTCTTCCTCTCTCAGTGTATAACATCATACATAGCAAATCCAGCACCACCCACCAACTAATATATACATGCACCCACCTGCTGAGCATATATTTATTACCCACCTACTCTGTGTATGTACATCCACCCACCGAGTACACTCACCCACCACTATGTATGAGTACATCCATCCATCCACCACCACCACACATGTTCTACTAATTTATAGGTGTCCAATATTCCTCTTCAACAATAAAAATTATAAATTCAATATAAACTCTTATTAAACAAGCAAGCTCAACAGTGATAATTGGACAGTCATTAACTGTCAACAGCATCAGTGACTGTTACAGATGATACCAGCCCTATCATTTACAAGTCATGAATGCTTCTCTCTCCACAGCATCAATTACTCTACACAAAACAATATTTGCAATGGATATAAATGTCCATCTAAACAGTTTGATAACACTGTCATTACTGTTACCCCTTATACTGACTGACACACTCAAAAGGCACACTGCAACATGCACTTGGATCAATACAATAATATGAGTAGGCGATGCGTCACGTGCCACGTCTTTAGCCACGTCAATAACGTGGCTAAAGTATGTTTACCAGACCACACACTAGAATGTGAAGGGACGACCACGTTTCGGTCCGTCCTGGACCATTCTCAAGTCAATTGTCCACAATCGACTTAAGAATGGTCCAGGACGGACCGAAACGTCGTCGTCCCTTCAACTTCTAGTGTGTGGTCTGGTCAACAATAATATGACTTCCAAAGCATCACTACTCACAGGGATAACTGAACATTCATGCACTTGTTTCCATGTACTACATTTAATTTATACATAATAAGGTACAAAAATATTGTCATTCATTATACAGTATACAAATTACTATCATCATGAGTTCTAAATAACTGGGCCTTGAACAATCATCGTAATTAGCGGAGCTTCATCTACATCCTGGACATTGGCATTATAAACATTCAAGTCCCGTACAGTACAGTGCAACTTCAATTTGGCAAACTGTTTCGGACCAACCCCAATTCATTTGTGGGAGTCCTTCGTTGCAACCATATGCCTCTACAAGGCATCTGTTGGGATGCCATTTTTTTTTTACAAGGAAAAATAAATTGCTTCACTTGTTAAATTTTTCTAATGTTGCTGTCATTTACAATACTCATTAAAAATGTGATTGGAGTCATTAAGTATGTTCCCATTCACACCATAATATTTCAATTTATGATATGATGGACAACTTACTACAAGTCTGAACTCTGACCCTACTTCAAAAGCAAAGCCACACATTCCCCGCTCTGCCGACTGTCCAAAAAATCGTTCCGTGAAGTGGACGAGTAAATCAACAGTAAATAAACAGCACATTCACCAAAATGAGGTTCACCAAATCAAGCTTGCGCTGTACTTTTATAAATGGCTGAGTATTAATACAGGAAGCACAACAAAATTTCAAGCATCATGGCCATTGCAATACTGTACTTGGAAATCACATGCAAAATCCATAATAAAATTCTATGGCCAAATTAAAAATCTACATTATAAACACCATTGAAGAGTGATTGTGCAAGTGTACACATGTACGTACCCAGTCCATGCGTCTTATCTTTCTGGGAGGCGGTCCATTGTCCCACCCATCCAGGGTCTCCCCAACTGACGAGTCCTATATCAGAAATATCACATCACTGTTGCATCCTCCCAACCACAGAACACTATGTTAAAAAACATCAATATGTCAAACTGCTAATCATTTTATTATTTAAAATATTATCTTGTATTAACCTTAACTGCAACAATATACAAAAAGCTTATCAATGACCTCACTGGGGTTTTTAAGAATATATTACTATTGACGAGGAAGGGCAATTAACACAAGGAAACTGACAATAACATTTATCAGTGAAGCATCAGGGTACTTTCCTTTACACAAGCATCAAAGTTGCTTCAACACTGTTTACTTACTGTGGCCAAAACAGCATTTAAGATATTTAAAGCCAGCTTGGATCTGTCATTTCCCATTTGACTGAGTTGACTGAGGGAGCCGATCAGATCCGACGTGCCGCTGCCACCAGCCATCACCGCACCCGACACCCCGTGAGCGTGCATGCGAGATGTGTAACCACCATCACACGCTTCTCTAGATCCCATATCCTCCCAGACATCCATTTGTGCATTCGATCTCTGAGAGTCGCCATATCTGCAAATTTAGACAAAATCCCCCATTATATTTATAATGTCTTTACTATCTTGCAGAAAACAAACAAAATATACATAAGCAAATACTATACAGTACAGTGTCTCCAACTCTTAAATAGTAAAAATCTTAGACCAGCCCAGAATAACCTCTAGAAAGTACATACTTATAACTGAAAGCCTTTCCAAGCACCGTTTTAGACTACAGAAAACACCAAGGTGTTCTGGTGCTATAAGTTAGTCCACAGGGCACGGCATCATCCTGGCGATACTTTGACTTTGGCTTCTTCATTCTTCCTCACCGTCCAGAATGGGCCAACAGGCACGATGCACACACTTTTCTTTGTTCCTTCATTTTACTAGACTTTACCAGAGAGCCACAATCTCTCTAGTGCTCTTGACAAGAACAGGAAGCCAAGGGGTTGTCAAAGGTCCCCCTCATTATGCCAGAGTATTTTTCCTAGCTGAATTTTAGGTGGTTCCAGGGGTTTATTACCCTACGGGTGAACTGTTTTCTGTCCTGTATTGTGGCTCACTGACCTAGAAGCTGTTGCCCCTTGTGTGCATTACATTGATCTTATAAACAAGTTACCTGGTTTAATACAGAGATGAGCCCTGCTGTGCCTGGTTGTAGACCCTCAACCATTCCCAATATGAGTTGACTTAGTTCTGGAGTTATTTTTACTACCCTGTGTTGAATTTTCTCAAAAGCAGATACAGTACGTAATTTTGAAGTTGGTTTCCATGCATGGATATCATTCCGATGTGCCCAGAGGGGGGCCACCAGAGTTTTGTGCACTTGAATTAATACTTTAATGAAAGTCAAAGGTTCGTTTTGTCAATCCACTATCCCAATACCCAGATACACTTACCTGTCATGACCACCGGACTCTCTGTAACCACCCGAAGCTCCGTGTCCACCACCACCCCGGTATCTGCCACTGTTGTAGGCACTTCCACCGCCACGGTTATAGCCCCTTCCACCACCTCCAGCACTGTTGCCTCTGCTTCCCCAGCTGTAGTTGCCACGACCTCGACCTCGTCCTCTGCAGGAGTAAAATTAGGAAATCAAGTGCTATTTCTATACAGTATTTCTCTGCTAGCCTAGATCACATATTACAGACCAATCTGTGCCACATGGAAATCAATGTTATCTTCCAACAAAAATTCACACCAACATATGTGCACATATATACATACAGCCCATACATACATGTGCATACCAACACCACTAACAGGTATGGGTGGGTCTAAAAAGTGTGACTGTGAAAAGAGGTTCATGGGGAAGATTTGACATGGCAGGAGTAAATTAGGGGAAACAGGGGTGACATGCAGCCACAGAAATATCAGTCTGGTTATCCCACGAAGATGTCTTCATGGTCTATGAATGCTCAAAAACATTCATCGGATGGATATCTACTAGGCGAATACTCACACACTCCTGTGCAAAATGGTTCTCAAACCAGCCACCAGAGAGCTATGGGACCCATCAACTATACACATTATCATTCAACAACCACACCCCATCCAATTACATTATATACTGTATATTGAAAACCTAAAGAGCTAATATGAGCATTACTGTATTCAGATATCAAAGGGATGGCACAAGATTTGTACAAAAATAATAACCTTATAAACCCATAAGGTATTCTATTAGGGAAACCAAAACACTGCGTGGAAACATCTCCCTATGATAATACAACCACGGAGATTTACCTGTAGCGAGTGCCACTTCCGCCTCCGCCAACTCTCGAGTCATAGTCCCCTTTGTCATAATATCCTGGCATCCTGCAATGAAGCAAAATTTGATAAAATATTTCTAATTTTATACAAAGTGATGCAGAAATGACTAAATGTAGTGGAGAGAAGAGAGAGAGAGAGAGAGGTGTAGGTATGAGTTATCAGGGGGCACTGGATAGTGGTACTCTACCAGAGGGCCGGGTTAGGATATAAGGTGGGCGTGGAAGGGCCGGGTTAGGATATAAGGTGGGCGTGGAAGGGCTGGGTTAGGATATAAGGTGGGCGTGGAAGGGCCGGGTTAGGATATAAGGTGGGCGTGGAAGGGCTGGGTTAGGATATAAGGTGGGCGTGGAAGGGCCGGGTTAGGATATAAGGTGGGCGTGGAAGGGCTGGGTTAGGATATAAGGTGGGCGTGGAAGGGCCGGGTTAGGATATAAGGTGGGCGTGGAAGGGCTGGGTTAGGATATAAGGTGGGCGTGGAAGGGCTGGGTTAGGATATAAGGTGGGCGTGGAAGGGCTGGGGCAGGATATAAGGTGGGCGTGGAAGGGCTGGGTCAGGATATAAGGTGGGCGTGGAAGGGCTGGGTTAGGATATAAGGTGGGCGTGGAAGGGCCGGGTTAGGATATAAGGTGGGCGTGGAAGGGCTGGGTTAGGATATAAGGTGGGCGTGGAAGGGCTGGGTTAGGATATAAGGTGGGCGTGGAAGGGCTGGGTTAGGATATAAGGTAGGCGTGGAAGGGCCGGGTTAGGATATAAGGTGGGCGTGGAAGGGCTGGGTTAGGATATAAGGTGGGCGTGGAAGGGCCGGGTTAGGATATAAGGTAGGCATGGAAGGGCCGGGTTAGGATATAAGGTGGGCGTGGAAGGGCTGGGTTAGGATATAAGGTGGGCGTGGAAGAGATATTGGGTGACCCAACATGTCGGTGGTGGAGGAGTTGGTTGTCTCACCTCACCACAGTGGTGTTGTCTGGGGGTCTGAGCTTGGTCCACAACTGTCACGGTGGTGCCGGGTTGTAGGTGGTGCCACAAGTCAGGTTATTATGGTTGTGGTGGTTGTGGGGCTCAAGAGAGAGAGAGAGAGAGAGTGTGAGAGGCCGGCGTCCAACACTCTTAATGTCTGCCGTAAACACTCACCCAACACTACCAGCCTATAACATCTCCTCAACTACAACTAGCATCACAACTCTTTATTATAACCTTTACAAACCCACTACAACCCATATATATTATATCTACCAGTAACTAAGCTAACTTATATTATTATTGCCTTTTTACTTCCATTATATATGAAACTACCGTATCCCCCATTCCCGCTACTCTGAAATATTACCATTAAAAATATTGTTAAATATAATTGCAAACGCTATGCACTTATGAATTAATTGTCTAATTAATTATCAGAATTGTACATTAAAATTCTTAATTAGATTGTCGTGAGCGCTTTGAAGTGCGTATATCAGTGACAAATGTATGAACAACGGTTTTGTATTAAATTAATTACCATTTCATATTTTTAGTCAGTTTTTTAACCAGCTCATGTTTACACAGCAATAGATAATTAATTCATAAGTGTATAGTGTTTGTAATTATAATTAATAAGATTTCTTAATGGTAATATTTAGCGGGAATGGGGGATACGGCAGTTACATATATAATGGAAGTAAAAAGGCAATAATAATATAAGTTAGCTTAGTTACTGGTAGATATAATATATATGGGTTGTAGTGGGTTTGTAAAGGTTATAATAAAGAGTTGTGATGCTAGTTGTAGTTGAGGAGATGTTATAGGCTGGTAGTGTTGGGTGAGTGTTTACGGCAGACATTAAGAGTGTTGGACGCCGGCCTCTCACACTCTCTCTCTCTCTCTCTTGAGCCCCACAACCACCACAACCATAATAACCTGACTTGTGGCACCACCTACAACCCGGCACCACCGTGACAGTTGTGGACCAAGCTCAGACCCCCAGACAACACCACTGTGGTGAGGTGAGACAACCAACTCCACCACCGACATGTTGGGTCACCCAATATCTCTTCCACGCCCACCTTATATCCTAACCCGGCCCTTCCACGCCCACCTTATATCCTAACCCGGCCCTTCCATGCCTACCTTATATCCTAACCCGGCCCTTCCACGCCCACCTTATATCCTAACCCAGCCCTTCCACGCCCACCTTATATCCTAACCCAGCCCTTCCACGCCCATGTTATATCCTAACCCAGCCCTTATACGCCCACCTTATATCCTAAACACCTTATCTTAGCACCTATATCTCTTGTAAACAAGCTCTTCTTAAGATACAAAGTGACGTGTTTCGAATATCTTAAGTGTTCCGATTCTAAAAAATTAAAATTGTAGATAATTATATATATATACGTTTAAATTTTATATTAAAATAAATTGGGATTGGCATGAGTGTGCAAGTACAGTACTGTATTAGGGATGACCGGGTACCTGTCAAAAGCCAGCTATAAGGCCACCTAATGTCCCCATCTCCTTGGATGTTTGAGCGGTGTTAATGCAAGATGCAAGTCTAGTCTGTTCTGCACCATATTGGAATCTTGCCCAACTGTTAATCCACATACAGGTATTGGATTACAAAAATGTGCGCCAATGTTGGAACAGACAAGTGCCTGCCCATACTGAGTGTTCAATGATCAATGTTTGCTGGTCCGGAGCTCAGCGAGCGATAAAACGAGCAACTTTTATAGAACTACGTGTATATTCTGTTTTACTTAAAATATTTTTCTGGTAGAGGTTTTAATAATTTAAATAATTAATAATTATATTAATAATTATAAATAATAATAAAAATAATTTTAATTTAATATTTTTTTTTTTAATTTTATGTCCTAAGTTTAATAATTCTCACTTAGGGCTAATGTCTTCCACTAATGCTATAGCCTAACTAACATATTGCGGTTATTATCCGAGTAGGTAATTTCATCTATGGACTAGATTGTAGTGTCATTTAATTTATATACAGTTTTCCATCACTACCTTTTTTTCCAAAATATTAATAACCCTACTTTTGAAACATTGACCACAGTTTTTCATAGGTGGCCAAGAATCTGCAACTTTACCCTAAATATTGGGGACAGTATTGGGTAATGTGTAACAAGACATTAATTTATGCAACTTTGGATAATTAAAAATGTTTAGTAAAATTTGTCAATGTTTTTTGCAGGATGCCTGGATACTACGACAAAGGGGAATATGACTCGCGGGTCAGTGGTGGGAGTAGTGGCAGCCGCTACAGGTAGGGCTGTGTAGCTGTAGTATTTTAAGAATATGTTTTCTCTTGGTTTTTAAGTACAGAGTATTCTTCAAAATCCCGACCTCATATAAGACTTCCAAATAATGAGCCAAATTCACCCGGTGGGTCTTCCCTCCGAATTTCTGATCAGTGTATAAAAAATTAAGATTTCTAAGGGATTGATGAATCTGGATCTTTGCCCAACAAACACACAACAAAAGTATGAAGTTGCTACAATGTTCGAACAAGTTGTAACAATTATCTAACACAACATAAAAACTTGATAACAAGATGTAACAACTTTGTAACAAGGTGCAGATGATGAGTCATATATAGTGTGGCTGAAAATATGTTGACCAAACCACACACCAGAAGATGAAGAGTCATATATAGTGTGGCTGAAAATATGTTGACCAAACCACACACCAGAAGATGAAGAAACGACGTTTCTATCCGTCCTGGACCATTATCAAGTCGATTGTTTGGGCTTAATAGTGGTCCAGGACAGTCTGAAATGCCGTCGTCTCTTCGTCTTGTGTGGTGTGGTCATCATTGTAACAAAGTAATAATGCTGACTGTTATGTTTAGTGTTTGCAGGGTGGTTTATCAACACTTTGGCATTGTGGCTTGACCATAAATGCTCGATGATGTCCTAAAATGTTTATACAGCATTTTTTAAGTTTCCAGAGTATTTTTTTGCGTGATAAGTATAAATTTATGTGTAAATGTTGGCAGATTGTTTTAGATAAAAAGATGTAATAGAAAGAGATAGTGATAATAGGTTCAGTGTAACAGTACTAAAAATATGAACGTTTATGAACATTTCAACGTTCCTCGTTTGTTGTCGACATTAAAAACAAGATGGATATGTGCACACATGTCTACATAGCTATAAATAGAAAATAAACGGCTCGTACTTTTCTGTCCTGTAATTTGCAAAGCGGATAAAATGTGGCGGCAGAGCAGTTATCGTCTTGAGTAGTTGTTGGGGTGTTGATGGAGGTGATCTCTGGTTGATCACTTGATGATCTCTACCCCACACCAAGCGCATGTATTTCAAGTTTCATCGAAGGGCAAATAAAATTGTTTAGGGGTTTTTCGGGAATTCCTAGATCGATTGACGTATTTTGGTGTCATTGAAATGTTGACAGTGTACTCTGTATTGCCAATAATGCAAAAAAACATCCAAAGCTTTCAACATAATAGTGTTATTTTTTTCTATTTTTGCTAATACTGTATTGATATTTTAATTGCAAATAAATATTTAAAATATTGCATTTATATTTTATAAATGTTTTCTTAAGCTTGTATTTTAGGAATTCCATAAAACATTGGTGATGTTACTGCAAATACAAACATTTGACACACTGTTGAGTATTAATACAGTATTGTATAAGCATTAAGGATACTCATTATTACACAGCTTATAATGAAACAAACATCTTGAATTAAAAAAAATTGTGATCTTGAATTTAATCCAGTATTTTGAGATGTTGTCGACCATAGAGCATGTCATGACTCACAGTACAGGTGACCTGGTGCCTAAGTATAGTATGGGCAACTATTGAAATATGTTTAATAATTGCTTAATTTCTGTAATGTTCGTTATATTACGAGCATATCACACAAGTTTATACCGCGGTTAACTATGTGGGGAGTGGATGAAGTGCCCAGTTCCAGGGTGTCTGCACATTCTAGTATCATGTTATAAAGCAATGTTTCTTTTTTACTGCAAAAGTTAGACATGAATCTATACTGTATATTGTATTATTTTGTATCCACTATGAACTACATTAATGTGTGTCCGGAGACTGATGACATTGCCCTACTCATTACAACAAGATTTGTGCACAGATCTCTTCTTTTTATTTAATTTTAATTTTATGTACTGTGTTTTATTATTAGTACATGTATAGAAACTAATTCTTCGCACAATTTGGTAATTTGCAGAGGACGAGGTCGAGGACGTGGCAACTACAGCTGGGGAAGTAGAGGCAGCAGTGCTGGAGGTGGTGGAAGGGGCTATAACCGAGGCGGTGGAAGTGCCTACAACAGTGGCAGATACCGTGGTGGTGGCGGTGGCGGACACGGCGCTTCCGGTGGTTACAGAGAGTCTGGTGGTCATGACAGGTAAGTGTATCTGGGTACTGGGATAGTGGTAGACACGGAGCTTGCAATGGTTAGGGTGAGTCCGGTGGTCATGACGGGTAAGTGTATCTGGGTACTGTGATGATGGTAGACACGGAGCTTCCGGTGGTTACAGAGAGTCTGGTGATCATAAGGCATTTTATAATGCAATAAGTATAAAATTAAATATATTGACAATCTTCTTGAATTTGCAGATACCACGAGTCTCGGAGATCAAGTTCACAGATGGACGAGTGGGAGGACATGGGGCCAAGAGAGTCATCTTCCGGTTATTCATCTCGCATGCACTCTCATGGGGCAATGTCTAGCGGAGGCGGCACGTCGGATCTGATCGGCTCCCTCAGTCAGCTCAGTCGAATGGGAAATGACAGATCCAAGCTGGCTCTGAATATCTTGAATGCTGTTTTGTCTACAGTAAGTATGCTGTATTGAAGAAGCACTAACAAGTACTTCAATGTTTCACATCAAACAATTGGCCTGATGATTCATGGATGGGTGTCTTTGGTAATGGGCATATGGGAAGGCATGCAAGTTTACTGTTTTTTCACCGTTTTTCACATCAAGAGGCCTGGGGGGGATGTTATATATACCAACCTGGGGTGAAGGATATTTAAAACCAAATTCTATGGCTTATTTTCATTTCCAGTAGCAGGGATTTTTGTTAACTAAAATATAGATTTTCGTTGAAAATAAGGTTTCCAGCTTGGAAGCATGGGAAATATTGTGGACGAGATGAAATCCTTTCACAGACAGGCTCTCCTAGGCTCTTCATGTGATTGGTTGAAATACAAATTTTGCTCGGTAAAATCAGCCCACAGAGCATGATGTAATGATCTGTGGAGACCATAGCTTCTCCCCTTTCCCTTTTTCCCCTTCCCTTCCCTTCCCTTCCCTTCCCTTCCCTTCTCTTTTCTCGTTCTCCTCCCTTGTTTTCCAAGGGAGGGAATAGTTTTTATACTTGGGATAGTTTTATTCAATTATTTTATTGAATAAAAAGTAAATGTAGTCACCGATAAATGTGATTTATTAGTAAGTTGTGTAAAAGATTTTGAAATTTACAATTATTAATGACATTCGTGATTTAGGATTCGTCAGTTGGAGAAAGCCTTGATGATTGGGACGATGGACCTCCTGCCAGGAAAAGACGCATGGATTGGGTATGTATGTGTGCGGTTATACTATGATCCGTCAGTGATGCTTATAATGGAGTTTCTAAATTTAGGCATGGAGTTATATAATATGGATTTTGCATGTTTTAAAGTACATCATAAGCAAGCTTATCCAGACTATATGGGAAGGACCCTGCTTGATGCCTGCTTGGTATCCATTGCCGGATAAGCAGAATTTTTACAGGGGAAGTCTAAAAATGACCATATTCGCAATTTTTTGTACCACTACCAACATAATTTTAATTTCCACACACACACACTGCAAATAAAAAATATAATTTAAGAGAAACTAAATCTTATTTTTATTGTACAGTATTTTCTCGTTTGATATTATAAATCTCGAAATGGGTAATTCGTGAAAATTCACGCAGCCTAATCTTCGGTAATCTAGATTTCTTTCTGAAGTACAGTAGTAGTTTGGCAAAATTATCTGGACACTATTTTGACCAGATAACCCAAATATTTGATTTAGCTGAATTCGGATAAGCGAGTGCATACAGTACTGTTTATGCTTGGTAATTGGAACCATCTGAGTTAGCCTGAATTAGCTGAATTTTTACTGGTAAAATCCAAAAATGAACATTCATAATTTTTTGTACCAGAACCAACATAATTTCTAATTCATATTTCCACATGTTCCACATGCAATAAACCTAAATTTACATGGTTATAAGAGGATATTTACATAAAGTACATACAGTACTCGAATAATTTTTGACAAATTTAAATTTTGGTGGAGTTCATTGGCTTGCTCAAAGAAAGGCTTCAAATGTTGTTAAATGACATAACCTAACCTGTTATAGCACATCAATAACTAACTACAGTACTACAGTACATGAGCTAGTAGTTATGTATCCCTTGTATTTATGCTTACATTTGCATTTATCAGAAACAGTACTCACACCTGTACCAAAATTCTTTGTTACATCATCTACAGACTGGTCATTTTCACGAAGTTAATCTCTCATAGCTAATCTTTAATAGTGTAACTGGTCTCCTCTTAACACTTAAACGTCGATTGCTGCTGGTACTACCAGACACGATCTTACAAAATCAAATTAACAAAATTTCTATAAAAGCCGAAAAGTTAAGAAAAGAAAATATTTCAGTAATGGAGCATCACTGAGTAGAATGATGCAAAGAAAGAAAAGACACGAGTGCCCCAAGTATGGGACGAGTCTGCTTGAGGCATGGTACGCAGGCCACCACATGGAAAAAGTCTGAGCTTGCTCGTTTGAGTTTATATTTATAATTTTTATTGTTGAAGAGGAATGTTGGACACCTATAAACTAGCAGAACAACATGTGTGGTGGTGATGGATGGATGTACTCGTACATAGTGGTGGGTGAGTGTACTCGGTGGGTGGATGTACATACACAGAGTAGGTGGGTAATAAATATATGCTCAGCAGGTGGGTGCATGTACACAATTAGTTGGTGGGTGGTGCTGGATTTGCTATGTATGATGTTATACACTGAGAGAGGAAGAGGAGTTTCCTTGGAGGAAACTAGATTGTTTCCTCCAAGGAGTGCCAAACCAACCGGGCTGTTGTGGATATGTGGGCCTGTGGGCCGCTCCAAGCAACAGCCTAGTGGACCAAACTCTCACAAGTCAAGCCTGGCCTCGGGCCAGGCTTGAGGAGAACAACTCCCAGAACCGTATCCATCAGAGTATCGGGGTTATGTAATGTTTTCATCCTGCCGGTGTCGCCAGTTTACATCAAGAGAAAGTGCCCACAGTGTCCGGAGGTACGTGTGGTGCCTGGTGTAAGAGAAAGTATTTCTTAGTTTGGCATGAATAATATAATTGTTTATACTGTAAATCATAATATAAAAGAGATGAATGACTAGCGAAGAGGTTCTTGCATGACTAATGCCTCTGAAGGAGCATTATCTTAACCTTCTCTTGTAAGTGTTTTAACAGTGGAGACAGTTATTATTACAAGGTTAACATGTAACTTAATGTACATATTTACCTGCCGCTATGTTTTAAAGCTTCCATGTACAAGGACAGAGGTCCACACACAAGCATGACACTTTGCATGTAAATTATTTATCGTGTGACTACAAAGTTGTGAAATAGAGAAAATAGTTGTGATGTTATTGTCATGGATCATTACTGGGCTTGATAAAGGACCCCAAGACTTGCTCTGCAGCATGTCGTGAGCAGGTGATGAGAATACTGTACTTGCGTACGTGAACCTTCTTACGTAGGACACTGTTGGCTTCCTATAGCACTTGACACCTTGTGAAGTGTTATATAGAGGTGCACTATTATTTAATGATTGCCACATACAGGTCTCTTGGCTTACTACACCAGCCAATGTGTAATGTGAAGTGTGTGTGTGGTTTAGGACACACACAGGTGAGATGCTCTATGCCGGTGGCTTTTATTGACCACTTTGACAATTGCTCATAATAGTATATTTATGTTCAAGTGTGTTATGGTGGTAGGTTATTTTGACCTGCCTCTCATGATGACAGATTATCATAAAGACCATTTGATATTTTGATGAAAGTACTGTTTTCTACTGCACTTGGAGATAATTTCAGTATTTGCAAGTAAAGAGTTTGCACCATATCATTAGGTTAATATCCCAAGCTTGCAATATGGGATGATCTAAGAGATTAATAATGATTGACATCTGTGTGTCAGTGTTGAAGTGCTTTAAATTATTAAAGTGATCTTCTCTTGCCCGAAGGTTTAGGGCAAGTGGTGGAGACTGTTCCACATTGTGCTTCTCTGCCTCTGGTCCTAGACCAACCAATAATTTACCTGTATTGGTCTGCCAAGGTCAGAAACAGCCTTGTGCTAATGTGGGAGTCCATCCCTCGGAGAAGGTCAGCTTAAGGGCATTATTTGCTGAGGGGATGACTGAGCGGTGAGTGTCTTCCACAGGATGGAATGCATCAACCACCTGTGCGCAAGTATCCCCAGCGTGACCACTACAACCCCCGGCGCACCTGGGAACGCCGCGGAAGAGGCGGCCACGCCTACGGCCCCAGTGAACATCACGACGGGAATGAGTACCAATCCAGGAAAGTGGTAAAGGCCCGGCGTGGTAAGCCCTGGCACGATACCAGGAGTAGTAAGGGCCCTGCTAAGGACCAGAAGGTGAGGGATGAGGCAAAATCATCAGATGACCCAGAGGGGGATAATGCTGATGCAGAGGATGTGGAACTTGCAGCTGATGCCAGCCTGAGGTAAGCTGCCTACCTTTACCTCTATTACACCCGTGCCTCACGGAATCTCCGCCAACGAGACTTGTTTCTCGCCTGTGGGAGAGTGGCTGGGATTATTATTTGTTTTATTCCAGGTAATTTTCAGTTGATATCTGCTACTGCAGCTCCCTTGTAGTTTATCAGGTGATGTATTTTAATGTCTATTATAGCATTTTGTTTAAAGATTTTATTACAATGCTAGTTTGAATGGTTATTTATTACACATAACTGACATGACTTCATACCATTAGGGAATTGGTTATAACAAACTTGACCCCAAATTTGACGAGGTGAGAAGCTTGAGGTCGGCTCAATTTTGTAGGTAGCCACCTGGTTGGTTTCTGCTGCTCGTGGAAACACTAATTTACAGAGAAATTTAGGTGGCCATTGTTCATTAATTGTTAATTATCACTACACTTGTCCTCTTAGTTTTTAGCTTGTGTCACTCCCTTCACATTTATCTTTAACTGAATACTTTTGCCAAAAACTTCCTTATGTCACCTCTGTTTTCTCACATTTTCAGTTTGTCCATGTGATGTGTTCTGTTGGCTTGATGAATAGATTGTCTAGCACCTGTATATGTTAAAGACAATCATTAGTTTTCTTCACATTTGTGCTTGTCTGGGGCAACCTAGACAATATTATTATTGTATTAGTGTATGAATCAATATTTAATGGTTCGTGTCGCAACTACGTAATGGTTTCCCTTTGCAACGGTTGAGTCTGACCCTGAAGGTCACGGCTTATCTCTTGTTCTGTCTAGCCAGCGTTTCCTCTCCCACAACCTGTACCTTCAAACCTGGTATACTTCCTGACTTGCTTCTATGGCATAAATGCTTAATTCATCATTGGACACACGGCAGCTTCCGTGTGATCACTGTGTTCTTAGCTGTGTGAGCGTTCCCGAGGTGCCCAACATGACGTATATACATCTATATATCTATATAGGTGTACAGTGATAAAGGATATGATGCATGCTTGGTGCACTCTACACTGCAGTACGCCACGAAGTCAGCTTCGGGGAAATCTTTTAAGAGTCCATTCTCTCGGAAGAGGAATTATTGCTTTGATAACTTGAATTCAAGTTGAGCTTGTGATGCTCGTCTTGCGGTATAATTAAAAGAGAAGTTGAAGGTATCCACTTTGTAGAAATGACCTATGATCACAGTGGAAGGCAAAGCCCACTTGTGTTGTTAATAGTCTCGGTGAATGTTCGTCGGTGTGAGCTAAATGTTAGACGAGTTTGTACTGTGATTGTCACCTTGTGTTGTTAATCCAGATGAATTAATTGTCCCAAGTAGTCCTGTTATGTGAATTGTCAATTTGTACATTCTCTGACTTTGATATATCCAAACAGAACAGTATTTATATACAATTTAAAAAGGGCACATTTTTCAAGTAATTGATGCTCTTGTAAAACTTAATTTTTGTTAAATTTATACTTTTTTGGATATCCTTAACACTTGGCAGGCTTTAATGAGAACAAAGTAATTAGTGAGGTTAGTTTCCATTATTGTTAGTATTCACAAAAATGTTTTTTGAGCACAAGTTTGCCAGTCCCTCACCATTTTGTGAAGTGTTGAATGGTACTTCATATTGATGTAGTACACAAGTGTTGATGAGTGGCAAACGAACGAGGCAATTATGACCATTACTGGACTGTTTTGGATGAGTTTACAAAGTATCCCGAGTGTGACTTGTGAATAATCACTGATGTAAACTGTTATGACTTGACTGGTGAACTAGAAGTGACTCGCCGGTGACTATGACGGTCCTGGAGGTTGGTGGACACTGTTCCACTTGTTTGTATATTGTTCATTAATGCTGGGATTGCCTGGGCACCTTGGTAAACGTCTTGGGGGTTGGGGGGGGGAACTATGGGAAGCTATTAATTGCTGACAAGTATATCCCCGGGCTCTTGTCCTTGGCAGTGATGCGGAGGTGGCAAAGGAAGAGGCAGAGCAGGAGGGCAAGGAGGCCGAGGAGGCACTGAAGGATGATAAGGAAGCCACTAGTGAGGGAGCCGCCGAGGCTGATGCGCAACATGGCACTGAGGAGAAGAAAGATAAAGAAAAACAGGTTAGTCCATTGAAAGAACAAATCCACAAGGGCCGTGACGAGGATTTGTTCATTTGATGCATCACGTTAGTGTGATCTGTGTGTGTGTCAGGTTAGTCCATATATATTTAAGGGATAAAATACATCCCTACTATATGATGCTCAAGTGGGAAACCATGTTTGTTTAATGAGTTTTTGTTACTTAGTCAAGGAACAAATTTTGTTAGGCCAAACACCTTTACCATGTTGTAAGTTGAGTAGAGTGTAAACTGTATATGATCGGGTTTTGCGCACTTTGCTGCACTGTTTTGTATATCGTTGAGTGTTCTGTACCTGAAAAATAGAGATTTTGTGATGGATTAATTATATTTTTTGTTTTCTCTCTCCAGAAGGAAGATTTCACAAATCTGCCAAAGGAAGCCCTCCACTGTCACATGTGTGATATCACCAATTTCCCTAATGTCAAGGTAAGCTGTAGTGGTGTGAACTTTACATCACATGATCTGTTCGATCATGTGATGCGTTCGAACATGATCGCATGTTCACGTGATCTCTGTTGGTGTAGTGCTGGATTAGCAAGGCTGGCTGTTCTGTATGTTCTCTTTATTAGTTTTCTCATAAAAAGGGCAGCAGTTTTATATATAAACATTCTCATAATATAGTAGTTCGTAGTTAGATATGTTGGCACATGGAAATGAGAATACTTTCCTCGATTGCCCTAATCAATCGATAAATGGTATATTGATTATACATCTGTACTAACTGTTCTACAACTTGATATAGGGAGTCTCAAGTCCAGAACCATGGCACAATACAATGTTGAAAACTACCTTGTATTTTGTATTACTTTATTCACTATTCATTATTTGCAGCATTTTGATTAATGCACAAATGTAGACAAGGTATACACTGAGCAGTCATGCTGTGGCTGGTGTGAGAATGCATGGCTTGAGGCTCGTGAGGTATGTTTCTGGATTTGAGACACCCTGCAGACTATATTTAACGAAGGCCAGCAAGTTCTGTTGTTGGTCTGAATGTCTTTCTATATGTAAAACACCTATATATATAACTTTCTATATATAAACACCTTTGGAGGTGTTTCAAGAGTTCTCTCTTGAACACTGTGAGGGATCGGCCAGTTATGCCCCTTAGGTGTAGTGGAAGCGTGTTCAACAGTCTCGGCTCTCTTGAGTACCTATTGCACCACTGCTTTTCAATGGGGGGTATTCTGCACATCCTGCCATGCCTTCTGGTCATGTATGATGTTATTTGTGTGTGCAGATTTGGGGCTGGTCCTTCTAATATTTTCCATGTGTAAATTATTATGTATCAGGACTTGAGTATCAAAAAATAGGGCCCCCGTGACTGAAAAGATTGGGAACCACAGCTCTTGAAACTAGCTTAAACCTACCGGTAATTAAAAACAAATGACTTAAGCTTGAATCAAATGCGAGACAATTGAGCCCTAGACACGAATAACAAGCCCTCTGTGGACTGTACAGGGAAGCCTGAATCTTGGCCCCACAGGCAGTTTTGAGTGTCTGTGATGGTGATTCAATTTTGACAGTACAATAATGTAAATGTTATAAGATATGTAGATCAGGTGTCAATAGATAATGCAGTGATGCATTCTCGCATTCTCTCTCTCTCTCCACAGGCATACTTATGGCACCTGAAGAGCAGACAACACAGGAACACGAAGCCATTCCACAAAAAGGGTACCGCCGTTCTTCATTTTCTTCGGGCCGAGTCCAGGGTAAATAATTGGCGGTGGTGGTACCGAGGTGTCATGCCTAGTAGTGTGTGTACACTTGTACACTTATTGTGAACATTATTTGTGGCATTATCAGAGGCTGAAATTTGATTTGAAATAAATTATACATTAGATCTTTAGAATGAACAAAACAGCTTGTTTAGTATATTTCATGGCAAGAAATAATGATTTTTCCTTTATGTTCAGAATGTGTGTAATGGGTTACTTGTACAGTATATAACGAAGATTTACATTTTGAGAAAAGTACTGTTATTTTAATGTTGCAGCTTGCGGCACAACGCAGAATGTTGAAGTGTCAGAGACGAGGTCTGAAAGGCCCCATCATGAACTGTCGCAAGTGTCACTGTGACGTCTTCGGAAACATAAGAGATCACGTCAAGACCATAGAGCACATTGTAAGTTCCCTACAATATTTACCTCTTAAGATGCAAGTGTATAATAACTTCAAATTCTTTGTCATTTGAATTACCTAGACATGGAGAAGTACCAGTTGAGTCCGGTAGTGAGGGTGCACTTTGTGTAGCTACAGTGCACTGATTGATATAAGTACAGTATTGTATAGCATATGCAGGTTTCTGCACACTCTAGAGTTAAAGATTTAGACGCAGATTTGCACGTTTAATATGTTGGGTACTTGCACAGGTATTGAGGAACTACCTGCGTGTTGAATGCTGCAACAACACCTACTTCAACAGGGCAGATCTGGATGAACACAGACTCTCTCTCCTCCACCTTAAGGTAAGCTTGAACCTCTTCACTCATTATATTTTTCTTATGAAGGCTGGTCATGACCTGTTATCAGGTGGTCATGGTCAGCTACAGCCATCTTACAAACTGTCGTAACATAATGTTTATACCTGTAATATACAGTTTTATTTATGAAATCTTGACTTAACAGAATGAGTACGAGCTGGCGCAGAAACAGGAGGAAGAGGAGGAGGAGGCGGCAGAGGACACCGGTGTTGCCGAGAACGGTGAGTTGCCGAGTGGACGGTCACACTGTTGTACAGGCTCTGGGATGGGCTTGGGTATATTCTTATGCCAACACATGCATCCAAACCATTATATATATTTGATTTAGTGTTGAATTGCCATTATCTTGCAGAGGAAGGGAAGCTGTTGGCTAAAGCTATACGTCAACTGAAGAAGAAAAGCAAGTATGCAGAAGTCGTGAACCCAGAAACACTGATGCCCTATGACCCGTCCGTACCCCAAGGTGAGTTCACAAGTAATCGGGGGTGTGCTTACCCCATCTGTTTGCTTTGGGAAGTGAGATGTAGCTACAGTATTGGACCCCCTCATGGATGGTGCTTAGATGTGTCGTATGGTCTTGAACTGCTTGAATATCCCGGAGATCATTAGCGTGTGGGCTATAGGGAGGGAGCCGGTCGGCCGAGCGGACAGCACGCTGGACTTGTGATCCTGTGGTCCTGGGTTCGATCCCAGGCGCCAGCGAGAAACAATGGGCAGAGTTTCTTTCACCCAATGCCCCCTGTTACCTAGCAGTGAAATAGGTACCTGGGTGTTAGTCAGCTGTCACGGGCTGCTTCCTGGGGGGTGGAGGCCTGGTCGAGGACCGGGCCGCGGGGACACTAAAGCCCCCAAATCATCTCAAGATAACCTCAAGAAGATCCTTCACATAGTCAGACTATCTTGTCCCTGTGTTGCTGCTGCCGTTGTTGTAAAAGCGTCCAAAGTTATATTTAAATCTGACTTCCTCGGTGATTACTTGAATAAAAGTTCTGATTTAACATTTCGTTCAATACATCTAGAAATTTTGGATATGGCATGAATGCAGATGAAATTTAACAATATTGTCATATTTGTTAGTTTTCCAAATTATTCAGTTGCCCAAAAGTTATGGTGTGATGTTTGCCAGCAATTACTGAGCCTGAAACTCTAGGTGTAAACTGCATTTGTAAGTGTTACTCACGTTTAATGTCTATTTCAGGATTAAACGTCATCAAGAAGAAGATACAGTACCGGTGTGGGGCGTGCCCTCAGGTGCGATTGCACACCTCAAAGGACACAGAGGAACACTTTAAATCCCTCGATCATTACAACAACTTACTGAATCATCTCAAGAAATTGGAGGTTAGTAAAAAAAAAAAAAAAGTCTTGTTCCTTATCCTGCACCTTTATATCTTGGAAAATTGTATCACATTTGTACATCTGATATTATTTTGTAGTAATGTCCAGATTCTATACCATACTTCATGACCTCAGTTATCTTGTTTTAAAAACCTGTTGGCTTACATTCTTAGCATTATAGCATCTTTCGAGTGTTCTAAATCTAAATTGCTGTGCTTGTGGAGGGAGGATATGGAAAACAAAATGCCAAATAAGGTTCAGAAAGGATGTTTATTGAAGAAAAGGTGGATATTTGGTTCATGGAACATGAGTACATGTTTGCCATAAGTTAAGCTGGCTGTGTACAAGGGTATCAGGACTACAGCCCTGGTGCAAGGGTATAGGACTGCAGCCCTGGTGCACAGCAAGTGCCGACAGCATACTGTACTCTTAAGGGCACAACCTGGTGTGTGCGTACACTTCTTTTGCAAAATTACATTTTATCAATCGATTAAAATCTAAATTTCTTTGATCGGGAGCGAGTTTATTTTATGTCCTGTATAATCATATCCAGGAGGAGAAAGAACTGGAGAAAAAGAGGCTCGAAGAAGAGGCTCAAAAGGCAGAACTCGAGAAAAAGAAACGTGAAGAGGAAGCATTGAAGAAAGAAAAGGAAGCTGAAACCAAGAAGAAGAATGGGGAACAGGATGAAGGGGAAGAGATAAGTTTTGAGGACATGCACAACATGGAAACTGTAGATGAAGCGTCGGATGACGGAGACATGGACACTAGCGCCGAAGTCAACAATGAAGCGGCCGAGGATGAAGAGGAAGACCAGGTACACAGCGATGATGATGATGATGACGATGATGGAGGAGAGGAACCAGAAAGCTGTGTAAGTTACTTGGTAATTAAATGAACAAATCCACAAGGGCCATGACGAGGATGATCTGGGATGCTCCCGGACGCAGGTTCGAATCCTCATCATGGCCCTTGTGGATTTGTTCATTTGATGCATCACGTTAGTGTGATCTCTGTGTGTGTACTTGGTAATTAATTTCATTCATTTATTACAATTAATTAAAATGGAGCTGGAAGTAAAATGACACAAAACTAAATTACTGTAGGATGATGATAGACTTCAAATGGAGGAAAGATTGGTAGAGGCAGTTTAATACGGAGAAATGCTGACGCTAGGAAATGATGGTTTTGAAACAATGTCTGATGAACGACACTGGTATTTACAGGTCTTTTTGCTCTTAGATTGACGGTGAGGATTTGTAAGGATCATGTATACTGTTCATATTTTCATGTTCACTTCATTAGTATAGATCTTGTATACATACTCTGTATATGTTATCATTACCCGTTAGTAGGGATCATGTATACATTATCACTTTATACTTTCATGTGTTAGAGAAGCATCTTCATGGATACAAAAGATAAACATTATGGTGAATGAAGGTTATAGTTGTTAGTCACTCACTTTCTTCATGATCATTGTATGTGGCATCTGATAGGACCGTGTCCAGCAGCAGCAGCGGCAGCACACCTTCATAAGAACAGGTGCACAATGCTCCTCGTGAAGTGCTATATGCTGTGTACACACTCGTTGTTTTCACCCGGCCTTGTCCAGTCCCGTATCCTGTGTGATGTCCACATTTGCCATGTTCATTTATTATCATCAAACTGTGTGTTTGTCTTAGTTGTGAACTTATGTTGTCACTCAAGAATCTTCTGTATAATTATAGCTTTATACAAAAAATGTGTGGGTGGACATTTCTTTTTTAGAATTGACATTTCTTGCTTGGTGCAGGAGGATGCAGAGGAGATGGAGGCAGAGGAGGAGGAGGAAGAGATAGACGAGGAAGAGCAGGCGGACACGGTGGCAGCAGAAATATCCACAAAGAAAAACGAGTCCAGTGAAAAGCTAGAGAGTGAAGTTGGTGAGGACGAGGAGTGCAGGTGAGTGGTGGTCCAAGATTTATACTTGTTAAACACTTCAACATAAATAGGTTTATTTTGTTGCCTCAGCTCTTACCAAATGTACATGTTTTGCCATATAGCAGATTTAATAGTTTCCTTCTGTTCAAAATGTTACTCACTGGGGGAGCCGGCCGGCCGAGCGGACAGCACGCTGGACTTGTGATCCTGTGGTCCTGGGTTCGATCCCAGGTGCCGGCGAGAAACAATGGGCAGAGTTTCTTTCACCCTATGCCCCTGTTACCTAGCAGTAAAATAGGTACCTGGGTGTTAGTGAGCTGTCACGGGCTGCTTCCTGGGGGGTGGAGGCCTGGTCGAGGACCGGGCCGCGGGGACACTAAAAAGCCCCGAAATCATCTCAAGATAACCTCAAGATAACTGTCATGTAGTCTATGTGCATCTTTTCAATGCTGTTGGCTTCAAGGTCACTAGAAATGTACGACACTCGCCATCGAGTCATATTCATATTTTAGACTTTTCTACTTGATATTTTGACCATTGCAAATGTAAAGCAATACCCAATTTTCTAGTTTTATATTTAGTAATCATTATGGTTTGATTTAATTCATGTGTTGTCTAAATAAACATCAAGATTAGAGGAGACATTATTTGTAGATGATTTACCCATTAGAGAAGACATTATCAGAAGCTGTGACAGGCACAGTCTACTTTTACAGTCTACAGTTAACACAGTCTACTTTTATCTATGTGTTCTCTAGTGTTGTGGGGCACTTGGTGCACTCTACATCCATATGTTGTGTTAAGAAGCATCTTGTTTGTAAGACTAACTCAATAAGGTACAGTAGTCCAGCACATCACTATACGACGTACACTAAGCGCACACGTTACACTGGGAAATTGTTGCGTGAAAGGATAACACAATAAGGTTGTCTAGCACAGCATTCTACAGTGCTTGCTAAGGACATGTTACACTGGAAAATTCCGTCATTGTAAATATTCCACGAGCGTTCGGCTCTGAATAGAGCTCATGTTACAGGGTTCAGCACGTAATGATACAATTAAGACTAAAGTGGCAAATAACATCTGTTAAACAGTTTTGACTTTGTATCTGTTTTCTACAGTATAAAGGAAGACAAACAAATGGCAGAGGAAGAAGCGAGTGAAACAAAGGAATTGGCAGATGTAATGAAGTCTGAGGAAGGAGGAGGGGAAAATGAGCAGGAGCCGTCTGTGGCAGTGGAGGAAGACGACGACGCGTCTGGCGAGGCCAAGACCAAGAGCGGCGGAGCAGTGGCTACACCCCGAGCCAGAAGGGGTAGAGGGAGAGGCCGAGGACGCTCCACCAAGAACTAAGTGACATCAGCCCGTCATTAATGTAGACTTGTTTAAAGAGAAGAGGTTTGTCTTTAGCAGAGTCCTCAACATGTAGCTGATCACTTTGTCACTGATAGGTTTTATGAAGATTGGTTTATTGTAACTGAGGTGGTTTGATTGGTTTCTCAAGCTTTCTCTGTAAACAAGCTTAAGAGGAGGAATGAAATCAAGCCACCTTGGGTAAACTTACTTGATGCAGCACTGATGCTGTCACATAAGGTGAACACTTGTAGTTAATGGGTGTAGAAGCCCAGGACTGACTTTGTTTTGTGGAAATTATCAGTAAAGTCGGTCTTGTACTTTGTGTTGCCAATTATTGGGTACATAACTGGAATTATTGCTCACATACTAAAAGTTTTGATGTTAAATTTGCTGCTGCGACTAACAGATAATTGAGCAATAAATTGTCAAAGTTAAATATTTAGCACAAATTGTGTGTGAATCTTTGAAAAACTATCACTTCATGAATGATGATGATGGCGGCATCTAGTGTCATATTTTAGTGGAAAATTTCATCGTAATGGGTTTTAGCCTAAGATTTATTCTTTATAACGATGCTTAATTCTAGTTGGCAGAAACTGTGAGGCGTTTCATAAGAAAAGTGTTGATGCTTTACACCTTGGCATGTAGGAAGGTCAATTATGATGGAGAGTGAAGAATGTACTCGTCACTTATTGAAGCCACCGACCAAACTGTAACCTGATGTATGGCATGTGCGACCCAACTGTTATTGGCTGTACCAGTACCTTTTAAGGATGCTACCAAGGATGTTAATTATGTATTTTACTGTGAATGAAACTGACATAACCTGTATCTGTTACTTATAATTGGTTTACATATGGCATTCATGCAATTGGAAAATATTTTTTTTTCATTTTTGTCTCCTAAAATATACACTGCTAGCACAGATTGTTAGAAATTTTAGTTTTGATTCATATGCATCATATTGTTCCATAATGTTTAGGTCAGTAAGAGTAGTTTTGAGCTAGCAGTGCTGTACATGGCCATAGGATGTCATGTTTTTACTACATACCGTATTAGGACAAGGACGGCACAATTTGCCACGTTAAATTAGTAATAAGATTACAATAAAACTTTCCACTGTCCCAAAAGTGATTTTATTTCTTTGAGCCTTGTTGAATGTCCTGACTTCCAGGACGAGCGTGTTGTCTTGCTTTCCGACCGTCCCTTGCGGTCACTTGTCCCTCGATAGAACTCTAGGTGAATCGGATATTTTTGATATCGGTTGCCTTATGCGTTTCTGTTCTCGTATTGGCATTCTTGGTGATATTTAGCGCCCTCTGATTATTTCGCACTTTGATGGTGCTACATAACCTAACCGGTTTGGTGCCTTCTTTTGATAATTAACTTGCCTTTTATTTCTTTAAATTTTAAATTTTGCCCCGAGGGGCGAGTTTATTGGGCAGCGCCACTCATCCTGTGAGTGGACACACCGCCATAGCAGAATGTACAACACTCCCCAATAGGAAGAAAACCCGCTGGGTTGTTCATCCTGTCACTTGTACCCAGACATTTCTTTGTTCAGTACAAGCACTATCATTGGTACTAAAATAAGCCTCTACATAACTTACTAATGTTAATGTGAATTATATTAATACCTGTACTGGAGGGTACTTCAAATAATTTTGATGTGGTTACACTAATGACAATTATGTATTGTTACAGTAACAGTTATAAGTGGAAAATGTAGGGAATTAGTAATGGCAAGAGTTGGTGGATAAGCTTGAGAAGTAATCAAGTTGTATAGTAACAATGACTGGGGAAGGAAGGCTTCCACACAACACATTAGGCCACCCACAACAGTATAGTTGATGTGTTGGAGGAGGAGCTTAAAGACATTGTATTACTATAGGCCACACCAAGTGAATATTGACATTGTAATGGATTCTTAATCAAATAGGCGTTGCCAGGAGATTGTCAAATGGGACCAGATGGAGCATTCAATATATGCTGATAAATTTGATCCATAGTATTGTATTTGAATTATTTTTTTCAAGATTGGTTAGAACTTCAACTTGCACTCTCTTGAGAGGTGTAGAACAAGACAATCTTCATAGAATTCTGGAAGTGGATGAAAGTCATTTACAAAATTACTAAACTAATTTTTGAAATCATTTAACCAGGTGAGACGTTGCAACAGTCGTTATAAATTTGAGAAACTTAAAAAAAAAAAGAGGGATACAGGGTAGGCAAATATTTATCTAGGATAGACTTTTAGACAAGAACACATTACCAGCTGGCATTAAGGTTACCTTGAGGTGCTTCCGGGGCTTAGCGTCCCCAAGGCCCGGTTGTTGACCAGGCCTTACAGTTTGGTAATAAAATGGCTCTTCCTTGAATATTTTCACTGCAACGCACACTTGACCACTGTTTATGGATGGGGGGTCTGCTGACGACGTTTGCTTCCACAATGATATTTCATTTCATGTGCCACTTACCCCTAGAGGAACATTTTCATGACTGAGCTTGAGATAGTTCTGTATGTTCTCCATCTGTTACTATCTTAACACCAGCATTCTTTTGTGGTGGACTCCTGCAATGCCCTCATGGCCCTGAAGTCTTAATTTTAACCCTTGCCAACCTATGGTGACAAATGGTGGTGACAGCACTTTGTACTGGCTTTTCCTAATCTTCAACAGGTATAAGACAGTTGAATTTTGCTGGGTTGCCAACCATAGTGGCATTTCCTTCGGTGATCTCACAGATGCTACTAAGGAGGCTGTTCATGTTGGTCCTGTCTCCTGAGGGCAGCAGATTTTTGCCCTTTCATTTGTTGCAACACACAACTATTGGGATGATAGGTGGTAGTTATGTGAAAAACAAATTGCGTAGTATTAAGTGTAGCCTATTCCCACCGCCATTCCTACTACCACGGAAATAGTTATGAGCAAACGACTCTGGCTAGACTGCATGTAGGATACACATGCTTAAATTTTTGGCACTTAATGGAACAAGGCCTGTACTTTACTGTTCACATTTTTGTCTTGCTGCTTCTGTATTAGCATCGTGCAGGAGTGTTGTGACTCCTGTACCCCAGACAGTGCTGTGCTGCCATCCTGGATAAGCACTTTGTAATTGTTTTACTTAACATATTAATTGGCTTGTGGGCCTATCTTGTGTAACTTTGATAACTAATAGATACCAGTAGCAATGGTTGCTTTATTTATGGTTAAACCTTAAACAATGGATTGTGCCATGAAATAGATTTATCTGGGTTAAACTTAGGTTATGTTGGAGTATTTTCCATTATGGTGCTAGTGGCAACCAGTCCTCATTATGGTGGCATGGTATGGTATTGGTGCCTTAGTATTGACACATGGCAATATTAAGAAGAAAAATGCCCTCCGTGATAAGGTTGTTGCACTTTCAGGAAAAGGTGTGGGAGTTAGAGTAATACACAAAGATATTATATTCTTTATTTCCAGGACTCAATATAAACATTTTGAACAAGCTTCATAAGCCAACAATGAAGTTGCCACAAATTTACATTACTAAAACTATAAATACCCAACTAAAAAAAATCTTTATACATCACTTATACACAAGTTTTAAAGTTTACACGAGCTAGTTACTGCTTAATGCAGCCTCGTCCTGCCGTGAACAATGACAACAATGAAAAGGCTCAAGACGGAAAAGCCACGTACATGTGGCATATATACTGGAAAACACAACCATAACTTGTCGAGATCAAATCTAGCTTCAAGTCGTTGAAATTCGCCTAAAATGGTACCGACAGGATAAGGTAAACACTCATTACAGTAATTGTAGAGTAGTGGTTGTCTATTTACACTGATCACACAAGAGGAATGTTTAATATTGACTTATAATGCTATAACAACACTGTATGCTGAGTAACATGGCCAGCAGTCCTAATTACAAGTGGAAAATACAGTAATCTGACTAACCTGCACTACCAGCTGAGAGGCAGGACCAAAGAGCCAAAGCTCAACCCCCACAAGCACAACTAGGAGAGTACACACCGTCAATTTAAGCTCTTCCACACAATCGTACCTTTCCTAAACATATACCATCAAACTATACAGTAGTACACAACACCATATTTGTCAAGATTGTATATGGTAGTGCCTTCACAGCAGATCTTACTTACAACAAGAGCAGGTTTACTAGACTGCTGAAAATTCTTCGTCTCGTACAAATATTACATTACCACTTGTTCTGAATTTGAGTGGCTTTACCTCGCATCACAGGGATACAAAATAATAAACTCGTTAGTTATCAAACTTGCGGTTGGGATTGACTCCAAACAGCATTGCTCGGATTTCTGGAAGCATCTGCTGTGATAACATTTCCAAACGCGCTTCCAGGGTGTTGGAGATCTTGATACGATTAGCACGGGTCACAAGTTCAATACCTCCACAGCTGTCGAGAAATAATTATCAATTGAGAAAATATTTACAACTTCCACCACAGAACAAGCAATGGACTTATTTTGGAAAATTCTTGATTTTAACAAAATTAAACTTTTCATATTTGGTTTAAATATCAACAATAATGATAAACTACTTTTTGAGTAGACAATTAAAACCAATTACTGTACTCACATTTCAGCAGGAAGCCAATTGGAAGTGTCAATATCCAATTTGGCATCTCTGCCAGAAAGATTTTTGTACGAAATGAGAGCTCTAACTATGGCCTGCTCGACAAGGGCTTGGTCCACGCGGCGACACCGCACCATCAGATGTGGCTCCAGTAACTGAAAGTGGTTACTATGCTTATTATTATGTCAAATATGCAGCATCTGTTGAAGTTAACAATTGAAAACTAGCATAAACGTGTTACTGAACCACAGTGCATTAATGTAGCTATTATCCTCAACATTGGATATTTGTCATCAATCCTCCCATTAAAATATTAAATGGAGTATACTGATGATCTAATGCTAGTCACACTGATTCACATTTTTCAAGCAAATAAAGCTCTAAAAGAACAGTAGCTCTGACAGTCATCCTGTGACTACACCCATACCCACTGTCATCTATGTTACTCCACACACACATACCCCCACCCCTGAACCGCTGCCGCTCCATCACTTGCCCACTATAACGTGACAATTTTACACACGTCATCACTCGCCACCCCACCTCCCTCCCCCATTTAATGATGTACAGAATATCTAAATTTTGATGAATCCTTAATTTCAATTCTAACAGCATATAAAATTTTTATTTAATTTTTTTTTTATTTATTTATATACAAGAAGATACATTGGGTTAGAGAGAATACATAGCATAGTATTTACAATCTTGTAAAGCCACTAGTACGCGCAGCGTTTCGGGCAGAAACATAATATACTGTACAGTATACAAAAAAATAATTGTAACAATACAAACAGTTTGCAGATCTTCTTAACATAGGCCAAGTGTTGCAATACATCTCGCTGCAAACATTTTAAAATATGTTATGTACAGAAGAATATACAAAAAGCTACAAATATTATATTCAAATAATGGATAAAAACGAGTGCAGAATAAATAAGTCAGGAGTGAAGAGCCGGAAAGTGACTGGGTGCGGCACAGTGGTAGTGTTCACTGAGCAGGCAGGCTATATATACCAATACATCTAGTAAACTATGTGTCAAAATTCTAGCATCAAAGAATGTGTTTTATCCTTTACTATTCACACTTTTAATCCAGTATATGTGAAAATTTACCATATTTTAAAAGCTTTATGCCCCTAACTGGACAAGTTACCTCCACTTGTCCAGTTAAAACAAGTCCAGTCTAATACAGTAAATACTGATATATTTTTGAGTGGACCTGTTCTTTGTTCCTGCTTTGTTCAGCGTCCCTGCTACCTCACACCAAGACCGGATGATACATCAGAGTTATGTTCTATTTGTTGGTGGGAAGAAAGTTAGAGAGTCAGGTAGAATAGTTACAGACAAGACATTTTCTTAATAAGAAAGTAGACGTCACAGGTGTATCAATAGGTTACACGTACCTGACACAGCCCCTGACAGAGGAGGTCCTCCAAGAGCTTGCTATAGGCTCCCACATCATGAGAAATGACGTTCAATTTTTGCTGTGCCTCGTGAAGAACGTTCTTAATATGCGACTCCTGGGCCTTCAGCACCTCTAACCTCGACTTGTTCAACAGGTTGCTCGCACCACTGTTCACCAAATATCCAAATTTGTTAATAGAGATATTGGTATATATTGACATAAGTAACAAATAAGCCCAACAATATAGCATTACTACCAAGTTGAAACCAGAAAAAAACTTGTAAAATACCTGCTTCACACGTAAAAATGTTCACCCAAACTTACATCTTTTTCTGAAGCTCGACTTGCTTCTCCTTGCGCTCGTAATATTCAATGATCTTGAGACGATTTTGCTGCACCAGGCGACCCTTCTCAATAGTAAATTCTTCCTCGGCTCTGGCGTCAATTTCTTCTGCTTTTTCATTGGCCTCTTGTTCAATAAAGGCCATCATATGATGGATCTGAAAAAAGATTATAGTGTTATCTTGAGGTTATCTCGAGATGATTTCGGGGCTTTAGTGTCCCCGCGGCCCGGTCCTCGACCAGGCCTCCACCCCCAGGAAGCAGCCCGTGACAGCTGACTAACACCCAGGTACCTATTTTACTGCTAGGTAACAGGGGCATAGGGTGAAAGAAACTCTGCCCATTGTTTCTCGCCGGCGCCTGGGATCGAACCTGGGACCACAGGATCACAAGTCCAGTGTGCTGTCCACTCGGCCGACCGGCTCCCTATGAAAGTGTTTCACATGTTACGGAAACTGGCAATGATAGAGGCGGGTGGAGATCTATGCTTATCGTTTCATCCACTCTCTCCTAATGACATGTTAGTCGCGCTCATTTAAACATGTTTATTTTATATATACAGTATATATATTATATATATATAACTGAAAACTCCACACCCCAGAAGTGACTCGAACCCATACTGCCAGGAGCACTATGCAACTGGTGTACAGGAGACCTGAACCACTCGCCCATCACGACCGTACAAAAGATGACGGTAGCCGAGGCTATTTGCCCATCATCCTGACGGCACTTTGATGGTAATCTTGGACGTAGTTATTTTATCAAATTACCTCATTTTTGGGGGCCAGCCTCCCGGGCCACACTGGGGGGGGGGGCCAGCCTCCCGGGCCACACTGGGGGGGGGGCCAGCCTCCCGGGCCACACTGGGGGGGGGGCCAGCCTCCCGGGCCACACTGGGGGGGGGGCCAGCCTCCCGGGCCACACTGGGGGGGGGCCAGCCTCCCGGGCCACACTGGGGGGGGGCCAGCCTCCCGGGCCACACTGGGGGGGGGGGGGGCAGCCTCCCGGGCCACACTGGGGGGGCCAGCCTCCCGGGCCACACTGGGGGGGGCCAGCCTCCCGGGGCCACACTAGTGGGCCAGCCTCCCGGGGCCACACTAGTGGGCCAGCCTCCCGGGCCACACTAGTGGACCAGCCTCCCGGGCCACACTAGTGGGCCAGCCTCCCGGGGCCACACCAGTGGACCAGCCTCCCGGGCCACACCAGTGGACCAGCCTCCCGGGCCACACTAGTGGACCAGCCTCCCGGGCCACACTGGAGGTGTATAATGGCCATAAGAGAAGAAAGGTGGCCCGAGGGGGCCATATATCACCTGCTTCTGGACGTCGGCATCGCTGAGGGCCATGGTGAGGGCTGGTGAGAGGTGTGAGAGAGAGAGTGAGACGCTACACAGCTGACAAGTCCCTCCTTGCAGACAACAATCATATGATGACTACAAAGTCAAATCATCAACTAATCTAATATATATTCCTAACAAAGAATTCAAATATATATACACCAGATCGACGTATATTTATACTTCGTTAAATATTAGTGAATGTGGTAATGTTTTCGGTTATTGAATATTGGGGGGAGATAATATTTAAGAGATAGCATAGTGTCTCGCGTCACGGGATCTAACCATTGCCATCCAACCCCTCACAGTAGAGTTCGATACTCCTTCAATTCCTTTACGGAAGGGTTAGATGCTGCTCTCAATATTCGCGCGGAATATTTGAACTTCCTCTCATTCTATGGAGGCTTGATCTTTCATCCAATATTCCCTACAACATTCCACCAGAGGGTTAAGAGAAGGACCAACATTCCACCAGAGGGTTAACAGAAGGGACCAGAGGGTCACAGGGCTAACAACACCAGGCATGAGAGGGAGGACCTTTTTGAAACATAAAATCCTGAACAATTTAGAGGATGTTGATCCGGACAATATCTTCAAAAGATCAGATGTAACACACAAGTAATATCTGCCTGAAACGCTGCGCGTACTAGTGGCTCTACAAGAATGTGAACACAAGAACATAAGAACAAGGTAACTGCAGAAGGCCTATTGGCCCATACGAGGCAGCTGCTATCTATAACAACCCAATCCCACTCATATACATGTCCAACCCGCGCTTGAAACAATCGAGGGACCCCACCTCCAGCACGTTACGCGGTAATTGGTTCCACAAATCAACAACCCTGTTACTGAACCAGTATTTACCCAAGTCTTTCCTAAATCTAAACTTATCCAATTTATACCCATTGTTTCGTGTTCTGTTTTGTGTTGATACTTTTAGTACCCTATTAATATCCCCTTTGTTATGTCCATTCATCCACTTGTAAACCTCTATCATGTCACCCCTAACTCTTCGCCTTTCCAGTGAATGCAATTTAAGCTTTGTTAATCTTTCTTTATATGAAAGATTTGTAATTTGGGGAATTAACTTTGTCATCCTAAGCCGGACATGTTCAAGTGAATTTATATCCATTCTGTAGTACAGCGACCAAAACTGTGCTACATAATCTAAATGGGGCCTAACTAGAGCAAGATATAACTAAAGAACTACACCAAGTGTCTTGTTACTAACGCTTCGATTAATAAATCCCAGTGTCCTATTTGCCTTATTACGGACATTTATGCATTGATCCTTTGGTTTTAAATTCTTACTAATCATAACTCCCAGATCCCTTTCGCAATCTCAGTACCATCTAGCTCGTATCTTGTAACTCTATCATCATTACCTAGCCTCAGAACTTTACATTTATCAGCATTAAACTGCATCTGCCAATCTTTTAACCATTTCAAAACCCTCTTTAGATCAACTTGAAGTGATAGTGAGTCTTCTTCCGTGTTAATTTCCCTACCGATTTTTGTATCATCGGCAAATTTGCAAATGTTGCTGCTCAAACCTGAATTTAAATCATTTATATATATTATAAACAACAGAAGTCCCAAGACAGAGCCCTGAGGTACTCCACTTACAACATATTCCCACTCTGACTTAACCCCATCTATACTAACTCTGTTTCCTTTGGTATAGCCATGCCCTAATCCAACTTAATATAGCACCTCCAATACCATGAGCCTCTATCTTTTTAATCAGTCTTTCATGTGGCACTGTATCAAAAGCTTTGCTAAAGCCAAGGTACATAACATGGCAAACCTTACCACTATCAACTGCCTAGCGTGGTGTGGGTTACTTTGCATAGCACATCATGCTATGTCCTCTCATAAACCCAATGTGACTTCTTGTATATATATATATAAATAAATAAAACAAGGAGCAACGGTAACAAGCTTAACAAGCGACAGTTTAGGACTGTTAACAGGTTCTTCACCCACGTGGGTATTAACCCGCGGAACTTCCTACCCGCCGAAGCCGTTAATGCAAACTCTGTTAACTTTTAAAGCACAACTGGAAAAAATCATTAAGACAAATGGTGGGAGACCTTAGCCAAGCTGACGGTAAACTCGTTAGTGGCTCTCAGGTAAACTCAGGTAAATACAGTTATAAAGATTGGCGCCAATAATCTTATATTGTTTCTGCTGTATTGTGCCTACCAATTTGTTGTCAACTACCATTTTAAGCTGTCATTGCAATCAATCATAGCTACCTATGTGCTTTAATATACTGTACCTATAATTTTCTCTCATCTTCTTTTTTTTTCATTCCATGTAATCTGTTATCATTTTTTTGTCTATAAATTTTGCAAGTATTTACCTCCTTAAAATTTTCTTAGATTAATAAATAGTCAATCCTCCCAAGGGATACCAACCCAGGACAAATTGCTGGTGGTGAGTGTCTTGCCACTGCGCCACGGGGACTACTATTTGGTATTTATGTATGTATTTATTTATTTGTATATTTATTGAGTAATTTATTGACTGGTTTATTTATTGATGTATTTGTTGATAGAGGAGAAGGAGGGTGAGTGTAAAGGAAGGTTGTCAACACTGAGGGAGTGTTGCCTGAGGGAGCCATAACACTGGTGTTGCTGCTGCTGCTGTTCCCTGCTGTTGCCTGCTGCTGTCTGCTGCTGTCTGCTGGTGTTGTTGTGCCTTACTGCTGGCACCCTGGCCCCTGGCACCCCCCCCACCACACCCCAGGAAGCTCCACACACTAGAGGTGAGGTAACGCAGACATCGTAATAATAATTCATTGGGTCGGGGGACAGGCAGCCAGAGTATATTCTTACACTTTAGGCTTATATCGATGCCCTCACCCCCCCTCAGGGTGCAACCCCACAAGATGACAACTCCTGAGTACCTACTTACTGCTAGGTGAGCAGGACCATTAGGTGAAAGGAAATTTGCCCAACCATTTTTGTCCCGCCCGGGATTTGAACCCGGAATTGTTGGTTGCGCGTCGAGAACGAACCCGACTGTACTACTGAGACCCTCCGGTGGTATTGGGGGACATACTACCAGAGGAAGTTATCAGTGGACATGTGAGGTCTATGTCCTCCATCACAATGCATCGAATTACAGGTGTTATTAATTCTAAGGCAGTTTTATTTATTTTAGTTTGTTTATTTGTATACATGAAGGTACATTGGGTCAAGTACATACAGTATGTTGGGGTTTGCATTCCTGCGAAGCCACTAACACGCACAGCGCTTCAGGCAGACACTTTGGCACATTTTTGGATGCTTCTGGTTCCTGGGAGGGGGTAAGGGGGGGTTACAGTCAAGTCATATACAGATATTTCAACAAAGCTCATCTTCTAATTTTTAAAACTACATACTGTTAGGTTTGGCCGACATATTGGACTCGGCAAGTTTGAGTAGGTTACGAAATCTGTGGCCGAACTGTCTCGTACAGTTACTTGTATCCTTCTTTGGCTGCTGTGAAGAGTTGCCTGTAGCAACGGTTTGCAAGGATCATCCAGTCAAGTATTGTACATCAAAGTGCTCTACCACTTTGTGGACCAAACTCTCACAAGTCAAGCCTGGCCTCGGGCCGGGCTTGGGGAGTAGAAGAACTCCCAGAACCCCATCAACCAGGTATATGTGGGCCTGCGGGCCGCTCCAAGCAACAGCCTGGTGGATCAAACTCTCACAAGTCAAGCCTGGCCTCGGGCCGGGCTTGGGAGCAGAAGAACTCCCAGAACCCCATCAACCAGGTATATGTGGGCCTGCGGGCCGCTCCAAGCAACAGCCTGGTGGCCCAAACTCTCACAAGACAAGCCTGGCCTCGGGCCGGGCTTGGGCAGTAGAAGAACTCTCAGAACCCCATCAACCAGGTATCAACCAGGTACCATTGCATGTATCTTGTGTATTAAATTTGATAACTCATAATAAGATGCATTACAGTACTGTATAGTGTACAGTATGATAAAATTAAACACTAAATAATGAATCTAATAATAAGATACAATACCCTGTATAAAATGTATATACCTGTATATGGAATTATAGATTCAGTATACAGTTCAGCATACAGTATATATTATTTATTGTATAGGTGTACTGATACCCAAGTTTTGACGGATACTGATACAGTACTCCATTATTATCCATGTACAATACTCTGATACAGTATTATAACGATATTCAGATATTGATAAACTATGAATGATTACCTTGAGGTGGTGATGCACAGGCTGTGTTGGTGGTACCGGAGCACATGTTTAAACTCAACATTGATTGAGGATTGAGTCTGGCGATAAATGATTTGCATTTATGCAGTTGAGCAAGGTAGTAATAAATAATATTTGTGTACATGTTTTTTTTAAGTAATGTAAACAAGTGTTTCTCTGTTATATAGCAAGCCTCCCCACAACCCAGCAAGATAATTTATGTATAGCCTTTACATTGTGGTAATATTGGCAGGTCATGGCAGGCAGGGCAGGCTCGGTAGCGAGGCGGGCGACTGCTGCATTCCTCAGACTTCCTCCGCTTCCCTCTACGAGTGACCTCGTCAAGCTCTACAATTTAAGAGCGACGAAGCAGCTGGGTCAAAATTTTCTGATGGATCATAAATTAACGAGCAAAATTGTCCGAAGTGGCGGACGTGTTCGTGACTGTCATGTTTGTGAGGTTGGACCAGGGCCAGGAGGCATCACACGGAGTATTCTGGAGCAAGGAGCAGCACACCTCACAGTCCTAGAGAAGGACCCCAGATTTATACCAACATTAGAGCTGTTAAAAGATGCCTCAAATGGAAAACTTGATATTGAATTGGGTGATGTTTTGACTTTCAATATGGAAAAAATATTCTCCCCAGACCTTGTACAACCTTGGGAAGGTCGCCCTCCAAAAATTCATTTGATAGGAAACCTTCCTTTCAACGTGGCAACACCATTGATTATCCGCTGGTTAAGAGACATTAGCCTCAAGCGCAATGCCTGGGTGAATGGCCGCGTACGCATGACGCTCACGTTTCAGCTGGAGGTGGTGCAACGCATGGTAGCACCTCCAGGACACCATCAGAGATGTCGTTTATCTGTAATGTGCCAAAACTGGTGTCAGGTAACGCACAAGTTTACCATCCCTGGCCGAGCATTTGTGCCAAAACCAGACGTGGACGTTGGCATTGCTCACTTTATTCCTAGAGTTGAACCACACATACCTTTAGAGTTCTCACTGGTGGAAAAAGTTGTGCGTTGCATCTTTTCATTTAGACAAAAGTATTGTAAACGGGGTGCTGGTATGCTTTTCCCAGAGTCCCTCAGGGATGAACTAGTGGATCAGATGTTCACGGTAGCAGAAGTGAATCCCACGTTGCGACCCTTCCAACTCTCAATGTCCGAGTTTAACCGCTTGTGTCACACATACGCTGCCATTATTGAGAAGCGACCAACTCTGGCAAGGTTCAATACCCATAATCGTAGAGCTGTTGTGGAAGGTGTTGATTATGATAGTGATGGAAGTGAGGTGGAGGCAGATAATTATATTGTGGGTCCTGCTGCTTGAGAGTGTTGAGTATGATAGTGATGTGGAGAAAATGTAAATACTGTACTGTACAGTACTCTGATGCTGCTGTTCCTACTTCAGAGATGCATTGATTATGAATGATGGTAGTAAAATGGGGAAGTTTTCAATATATTTTTTGTAGTCCCTGCATTATAAGGGTGTTCAGTGTTATTCAGTGCAACTGTAACGGTAATAAACATTTAAGTACGTCTTACACGTGGGAAAAGTGTAAGCACGCACTGTACAGTAGTTCCCGTTTCAGGAAGATCTACTGAGGGTTGACTATAGCCCTAAACTAACTCTTTTTGACTATTGTTATTCACAAGAATGTTCCAGGCAACAAATGAAGTTGTTTTAAGGTATTGGTGCTAGGTTTTCAGCACTATACTATTCTTCAAAGACATAAGGATGAAAGTTTAGCCTTGGTGAAAGTTTCAACTTAGTGAAAGCTTAGATTTCTTATTGGTCAGCTGTAAATTTATGGAACTTTAGTATGTGACATTTGCTGCAGGTGTCAAAAATGTTGTGATGTAACTTGATACTGCATTCTAACTTCAGAATATCAAGAATCAATGCATACATTAATGTATTCAGAGTTGGTGCTTAATGTATTAATAATTAAATATATTGCAAAGCATTTTCCTTGCCACAAGATAGCAAAGATTATAATGTCCATACAATGTGTTATGGTATTTATATTAATAAAAGACCAGTATGTGATTATCGTTTTTCTTTTAATCTTACAAATTAGCTTTTGTGTGATATGTAGAGTATTGTGTTTTTTAGTACAGTACGTGGCATAAGTTGAACACTTTGAAGCTTTGAACCTCAATGTCGATAATCTCGGTGAAAAAAAAGTTTGGGTAATGTGCGTTTGTATGGTTTTCTTCTGGTATGGTGAAGGTCAAAGTTGGTAATTTGAGTTAAGACACCAGATTGTGAGAAATATAGAACTGTGCTGGTATACCAGATGTTCCTAAGAGATATAAGAGTGAAAAAGGAACATTTAATTAATAAAACTATATTTAATTTTACACAACCATGCTGCACTTTACTGTATATCATATAAAATATAAATACAGCACATTCGTAAAATTGTGAGTTGTGGAATCGATGAATTGATTCAAATATGAAGATGACATGAATGACTTTGTCGATGTAAAAATGGAACACACAACGCGAGAAGATGTAGACGGAGCCGTGACACCAGAACAACAGACTTGGTCATGGTAGCCTATTACAGCAAGTCACTGGTATGAAAAGACTGAGGTAACTGTAAGAGCATTAATATAAGGTGTAATGTGGGAAGGTGGATAATAAGAGATAATAAAAGAGAAGGTGAATAAGATCTAACAGTCATAATTAGTAAGGATCTTAAGGCAAAAAATCCAGGCATTAATGGATCAGTCATATCTCCTCTGTTCCTCTCTCCTAGGGTTGTGAGAGTGAATTCCCTTAATCTGCACTCATATAGTAGTCCTCTCAGTTCTGGAACAGTACCAGATCTGGTTGCAAACATTTGTACTTTTCAAGCTGTTATTTTTTGGCGATGTGTTGTATTATTGTGGCGTTGGTGCATTGAGTAATGGTCTCGGCGACTGAAGGAGTATAGAAATCTACCGAGATGGTGTTTCGGTATTAAACCTTTGTGGATGATGTACAACATGATGCCAAATTATTAATACAGTAGCTGTTGGGCTGATCTACATCATAATGATACAACTTTTTCTCAAAACTTCATATACACACAGGGGAATTGTCAGGGTGGACAAAGACAAACTCTTCAGCACAGGTGGGACACGAACAAGGGGACACAGGTGGGACATGAACAAGGGGACACAGGTGGAAACTTAGTACCCAGATGAGCCACAGAGACGTTAGAAAGAACTTTTTCAGTGTCAGAGTAATTAATAAATGGAATGCACTAGGAAGTGATGTGGTGGAGGCTGACTCCATACACAGTTTATAATGTCGATATGATAGAGCCCAGTAGGCTCAAGAATCTGTACACCAGTTGATTGATGGTTAAGAGGCGGGACCAAAGAGCCAAAGCTCAACCCCCGCAAGCCCAATTAGGTGAGTACACACGCACGCACCTGCCTCAGTTGTGATCAATATTGAAATACAGTAATCCTTCCGTCTTCAATTATTCTGTAGTATAATTTCATGAAGCACATCACTAGGTTTGATAACAATTTTGCTTTTGTGCTTATACCAACAAATTTTTTGATACATTGATAGTTATTAAAATTATTAATACTAATTACACTATCTGTAAATGTAGTAATTACTACCCTAGGGACCAGGATGCCTCCATTGTTCGGCTGTGATCAAGACATGTGCTCGTGAAAATATTGTCATTAATAGAATAACCAAACACTGAAGCCCCATTATTACAGTAGACAGAACTAACCTTTCTGGAGGGTCCAAACAGTTGCTTCCTGAAGCCAAGTGCACTAAGATAACTCCACACATGTTACATCAATCATGGGAGTCTTGCATAGCTTACCTGAGAACATATCCAGAACCTTAGTAAAGTTAGAAAGAGCTCTTCCATCCCATTCAGCTATTGTGCCGGTTTTTGTCCAGATTGGAGACTTAGATGAGCAGGGTGGTTTTCTCGATACCTAGCTACATATTCTCCCCAGCTTGGCACCTTCTTTTGATTATTACTTGCTTCTGAATGCTAGGTCACAGGCTTAGCCTTTGTTTCTGGCTCTTGTGGCCCCAGTTGCCAAACCCAGGCATTTTTCTGTAGCTTCACCTCTTTCTGTAGATCGGTCTGGAGACGTTTCTTGCTGGTTTGATTTTCTCCTCTTGCATGTGGAGTGTGATGTGGGTCTACCATTGTTTGTGTGGTGCTGGGTAGTTGGTATCCCATCCCACATCATACGTCGCAGTGACAGTAGGAAGTTTCTTGGTGCCTTATTTTGTCTCCGTCTTTCTTCGTTGTCTTCTATTTCTGTTCCAGTGGTTTTGTTCTTGATTGGCATCTTATGCCTAATACTGTCGCCTCGTGTTGTTTGACCTTGGCGATGCTGCTTTTGTTGGTGTTCGCCGTAGATAACTGTAAATAAATAGTACTTTGTCAACACACTTTCTCAAATTATCTTGGATGATCTTTCACCTCTGTCCTGTTCATTCTTTTTTTGAGCCGGTCGGCCGAGCGGACAGCACGCTGGACTTGTGATCCTGTGGTCCTGGGTTCGATCCCGGGTGCCGGCGAGAAACAATGGGCAGAGTTTCTTTCACCCTATGCCCCTGTTACCTAGCAGTAAAATAGGTACCTGGGTGTTAGTCAGCTGTCACAGGCTGCTTCCTGGGGGTGGAGGCCTGGTCGAGGACCGGGCCGCGGGGACACTAAAAAGCCCCGAAATCATCTCAAGATAACCTCAAGATAACCTGTACGCTGCCTGTATTGCCTTGGTTGATGCATTGTTGATGCTCTCTCCTTGGTTCCAAGGCTCATTTACCTCCAGTTGTCTGCAGCATCATAAAATCTAGACGGTCTACTGTCTACTCTTGGTCCCACGATTACATACGTTTGTGGCTCTGTCCTTGTTATTTTTTAATATGCATTGGGCTGATATTGAGTGTTGGGGGTTTGGAGGTTTAAGAGGGTCGTGGCAACTCATAACCTGGTGAGTGTTCCTGGATCTCATCAGTCTTGCATTAGTCTCAGTTGGGTTCCCCAACCTGGTCTCTCATTTTTTGAGGATTTGATCTTCACTCTCCTCCTCCTCCTCCATGGAAAGTCCCAGTTTTCTTCTTCTCTGTGGTTGGTTAGGTTTAAGGAGCTATTGTTTAACCCCTCCAGAAAAAATCAGCATTGCATGTAATGACACCTTTTTGAATTATTTGAATTCAACTGAAAATATTTTTTTTTATTCCGTTGGCATTTGTTGTAATGTACATTACTTATCAGACAAGCTTTTTGTTCTATTTCCTCTAAATACTCTTGTAGGAATAAGTACACACTGTTCTGTACAGTAATCTTCTCCATTTCAGCACTTACGTTTTGCCAGACATGGAGAAGACGGCAGAAGATAAGTGGGAGTTCCTTGAAGCATTGTACCAACATGGACCTGATGTGGAAGCCCTCAGGAAGGTCTTGCCCAAGTGGACAAAGGCGCAGTTGTTGGCCGTCATCAAGCGGTTTCGCCACCGTGCGAAGAAGGTACCAGTAGCTGGCGTCTTTGCTGTGTGTAAATTCTTCTTTATTGCATTTTTATAGTAGAGAGAATTTAAATTTATTATGTGATAGCATTTAGTTTGCTTTACATTATTTTTCTGGAAAAAAACACATACGGTAAATGTTCAAAGCAAATAAATTTGTTGTGAATACTGTGTATGATTTTTGCTAATGGATTAATTTTTAATTTAGACTAAGACTGGGCAAAATTTGTGGCAGAATTGATTTCTTTGATGAAACATGATGTGGATGATGAAACATTGATGATGACATGATGAAACATTGATTTCTTTGATGTTGGTGGGTCGGGAGGCTGGTAATGGGTAAAGATCTGCCACTTTTAATGACATTAAAGTTATGAACTGTCTTCTGCCTCTTCAGAGAATGATGGAAGGTGAGGAAGAAGACATAAAACGTAAACCTCCTCTCGAGCAATGGATTGGCCTCACTACAAAGCTGCACGAAATTCAGGGAACCACAAACCAGTTAAAGCGAAGAGGTCGCAAAGCTTACGCTGAAGTACCCAAGGATCACGCACCTCTGATGGGCAAAGTAATGTACAGTTGTGTGTTTTTACAGCCTAGATTTTTTACTTCAGTCAACAGTATTATACAGTACGTAGTAGAATTACAGGTGTCTGGGAAGGTGAAAATTTGGTTAATTGAAGGTGTGGGCGAAGTAAGGCTGGCAGCGAGGGAGACTTCCATCTTCACCAACTCTGCTAGAAAACTCATTTTAAAAGTTCTTGTATTAATAAATAGTCTTATTTCTTCCCTATTTCACATCATTTACAATGGGATAGTTCAAGATATGTTTACAGTATGATATTTGGTCCAGAGAAATTATTTAACACATAAATGGCTCGTGTGTTATGTGATCTAGATTTGTTGTTTTAGCTCCTGGCCTAGAAAAGTGTGATTTGTTTGACATTATTTAAGATAATCAACCCACCTAGTCCATTTTATCATAAATATTTCCTGGAGATTAGGTGAGCGGGATAAGAGCTAGTGCCGGCTGACACCACAAACTGTACCTCCTGTATGTGATAGAAATGTCGTATGCCCCTGGAATATAGGAGGCCTGGTCGACGACCGGGCCGCGGGGACGATAAGCCCCGGAAACACCTCGAGGTAACCTCAAGGTAAGGTACCAATTTATACGGAGCCAATGATTATCTGAATTCACCTGAGGGCAACTCTGTCTAGTGGCCTCAATGGGGACAGGAAGCTGGCAGTTTGTCAAAGGTCCCCCACTTGTTCCAGAGGATTTTTTCTATCTGAATTTTAAACTGGAATAATTGTCTTGGCATTTATGGCTTCAGCAGGTAGGCAGTTCCATGGGGTTTATAACCCTATGGGTGGAAAGCATCTCCTGATTTCTGTCCTACATTTTGTGGGTCTGACAAAATACTGACATGATATTTTGCCTGCTCATTTTTGTATGCATAATAAATAAACTATATATTTTGTATTATGCTGAGAACATTTTACTACATGTACCATGCATTCACTGAGGTTTTTTATCATTGT